TTTTCGGCCGAAAACGCTCACCAAGCCCCATTCTGAGAAAAAGCAAGCACGGAGGATAGACATGTAAAAGGTCAGGTCTTTATTATCTTTCAGTCAATCTTACCATGAAGCCATTGGCTTGTTGTCTCTGTTAAAACTTAGAGCAGTTCATTTTCAACACCTGATCATAATTTTCCAAGGAGCTATTGTGCTAGCAAGTGATTCTGGAGTTCATCAGGGTTTGGCTATGCTCTTTCTCCATCAGTGAGTCTTGGCAGTCTTGAGCTGGCTGATTTATTCCAATGTTACGCTTGCTGGAGATGTTCCATCAGGCTGCGGATGGGAGAAGACAACTAATAATGTAACATACATGCAGTCATATGCTGAGGGATTTCTATTCAAAACAAAATGCCTATCATAATATTTACATTTTGACACATGAGATAATATGGTATCTTAAAAGTACAAAGAAATCTTATAATATTCCAAATGGCATACTGTCAGTTTTTGTTCATAAATATCGCATCTCTAATCTTTGTTTGGGCTTTTAATTTTTTCCTGTTCAAAGATAAAAATGCTTATTTGTTTGTGTGTATGTGGACAAGCATGTATATGGAAAAATAGTAAGGTAAATGTAATTATTTGTCAAGAACTTAAAGGCAATTTCAGAAACCATTTAATTTTATCAGCAGTAATTTCTGCACTTAGCTTTGCCATCCAAAAAAATGTCAATAAACATCACTATCAAGGACAGGACATAAAGAACAGTTTTGTTTTCTGATACCATCTCATCAGTGATAATAGATGAATTGTTAACTTCCTTGGAACAAAATGGAATTTATTAAAAAATTTATGCTAGCATTCCTTGAGTAAACAATTTATCCTTCCTCCCTGGGCTGAAGGCAGGTTTAGGCCATGAAGGTTAATGCATTTTTCCTGTAGAGCTGGATTAAAGAGCGCGCTTGAATAGTCAAGATTCCCCAGTAGTGTTAGAAAGCAGCAATTAAAGGTGGAAGCTTAGTGATTTCAAACAAACTTTCAGGCATCGATGATGGGCTTCTGTGGAGTGTCCACGAGGCAGAAGCTCCTGGGATACCTGTCTGCATGCAGCTATGCAAACAATGAAATTGGTTCTGAATCGTGCCAGTGCATTAATCTCGCTGTTAGAGACAAAAGGTCTGTAAACGAAAGGAAAAAAAGTTGCTTGCAAGGGGAGAAGAAAACAGTATTAGTAGTAAGTGTGGTTTTGAAAGACAGGGAGCTTTTATTGATCCTTAAGTGGCTCATTCACTAGCAGCCAATTTTCCTTAAAGGCTTAGAAAGACATTTTTTATAAACCCCTCAAATGCAGTAATGTGCAGTGTTTGACTCAGACAAGAACAAAAACCACACACAACCATAAAAATCAGATTTCTTCCATACCTTCCAATTTTTATGAATTAAATATGGATTAAAATCTGTAATGTTTAACTTTTCTCTCAGGTCTACCTAAGCAAGGACTAGCAACACTTAGTAAGCAAAAACATGGCCGCAAAATATGTCCAAGTATACTTACATATGCAAGTTCAGAGAAAATTAGTATTCATCACCCACATGTCCTCACCTTCTCCTCCCCTCACAAATAATAATCACTATTACAATCATAAAGGATTTCAAGATATGGGTAAAGATGAGCCACTACTATTTAAACTTTTAAGACCATCCTCTTCTGCTATGTAACTCTCTTTCTGTGTGTAAAACAAATTATTCAAGAGTTTGCAGCAGCCACAGCAAACCACGGGCCACAGTCATAAACATGAACCTGAGATTTTCCTGATAAGCCAGTCTTTCCAGTTCCTCTGAGGAAGACAACTTAAAATCTCACACACGTCACTCACTTGGTACCCTTTCAGACAGGTCAACACTGAGCTTCTGCTCCACAGAAGTGTACCACACAAGATTTAGACACCTGCATTAGCTAAGGAAGAAAACTGTTTATTTTACTGAATAGCAAAGATTTTCCATTCTCCTCCCCTGTTGTTTTTGTCCATAGCACAAAAAAAGTATAAATAACTGGATTAGCAATACACTATATCTGTATCTAATCCATCCACAGTCTGAAAGTTAGATAATTCACCATAACTTGCAAGAGGCAGCATATCTCCAGCTTGCTTTATATGTTGAGTTTTTCTTCTGCAAGATACTCTGTTGTGTATACCACATACTTCATGGAGTATGCCATACACCATCTGTCACGGTAGTACACAAGTGAAGTTGAGAACCATAGCCTTGAGAAATATTTTCCATTATTACATAATGAAGAATTACATATTTAATAAAAGTTCAGAAGCAGCAAAATAAAACACTTCAGAATGCTGTAAGGCTCTCTTCTCTGGCAAATCTGTCTGCTTTCAAGAGTCTTTCTCATATTATTAGCAGTATCCCTTATATTTTGGGTCTCTGAGCCATAGTCAGATGGGTTTAATTATTGCTTGTATTTCATGGGAGAACATCTTCTAAAATGCAAGTTATGGTCATTCAGACAATTGAACTGACATTAATCAGTTGCTGCCTGCCCCTAAGAGTGGTACACTGCAGTCCCAGTGTACTGGAAGAAAATACCAAAACAATTCAAACATGACAAATTTTAAAATCAATTAAAGTATATTTCGACAAGTAATCTAAAGAGCATCTCACTTACTTGCCTTGACATTCTTCTTGAAGAGTGAGGTATAAACACATTTGCCATAGTGTCAATCTGCATTTAGCAGAAAAGCCATTACAATTCCTTAAAGTCCAATAAAACTTCTTGGATGCAGTTCCTATTTCCATCAAGTCATCTGATGGTGAATATAATTCTTTTCCTTTTTCACTAGGGTCAGCACTCTCCCCATTCTGCTTCCATCTCCAGATTACCATGCTTTATTCAGGAGGGCTGCTCTGTATATTGTGCTTTGTAAAGTTACCGTTTTCCATCCATCTCTGTAGTCTTCACTAGTTCCTGTCTCAGAAATCTTTACTTTAAATTTAAGTAAGGAATAGCAAAACACTTGGTAAATTTTCCAGTAGAGCAATTTATACAGTAATGAGATTAATACTGACAATATAATTCAAAATGGTTTCCCCAAATAAATTTGAGATACATGGACTGACACAATAGTGAATCACAACAGTTTTATACAAATGCGCTTTTTTTGCTACCAAAGTGCCTTGTAAGCCTGAAATAAAATCCCATGTGAACAGAAGAAAGGTAAGCATGGTGTAGGATCTGATTTAATTTTGCCATTTGAAAATTGCTTGGAGGACTGTCTGCGTAGAGATAACCAGTGTGAAGTCTCGACAGCAGTATTTGTATGTCTGGTGGCCTTTATATAAAAATAGATTCATCTGTCATAGAGTCTGATGATGTAACAGCCTTCCTGGCATGGGAAACTGTATCTCTAGGTCATCATGGGATAACAAACAGTGAGATTTTATTCTTTAGTAAGTTAATTGTTGTTATATTGTTACCAGATATCACCTGCAATTGTTGTAACAAAAACGAAGATTGACACTGTCCAAACCATGCATTCTGTAGCACTTACATGCTGTACTGGTACCATGAACAATATGAAAATTAAAATTCGAAAAGTACTAGAAGCAGGTAATGTTATTATAGTTCTCTAAAAGTAAGCCACCATTAAATGATTGTTTGAAAATATCTGGTGCCCTCTGGTCTGGTGTAAAATGTAGGCTAAGTCCTTCTTCCCAAGAAACATCTAGAAAAAGAAAATTAGAGTAAACTGAGTCAGCTGATTCTAAAAGGTTGGTAAAACTATCCTTAACTGTTTTCTATGTCTAGCTGTCCGATACTGGGACTTACACTTGTGTTGCTACAAGTTCTAGTGGGGAGACATCTTGGAGTGCTGTGCTGGAGGTGACAGGTAAGTGATGTCCAGGGGCTGTTTTTCAGGTGGCACAAAATGAAAATGTCGACTGCATTAGGGCAGTCTGAGTCAAATAATCTGTTCTAGAAATTCTGGGATAGAGATGGAGAAGTTTTAGGTGGGAAGGCTGGGTTCCTTCACATGCCTTGCATTTTATTGCTATTATCTTGAAATGCCCATTGACATTGAAACAGTCTGTATTTGTCTCCAGTGACAGTGCTATGCTAGAACTGTTCTAAACAGGAGTATTAAGAAACCATGGATTCTTCCAGTAATGGGCTTGGACAAGCCTACACAGGGGACTGTCAAAGTCTAATGTGCTCTCTGTGAGTACTAGAGTTGATTGGATGGATATAGGAACTTTCTCATCCTTATAGTAACTAAGATTTTGATATTTTATGTAAATTTCAGCAAAGCTGGGCTTTTTGTTATTCTTTCTTTTATATATATATATATATTTAATATGACTTTTGAGTTTTGTGGCTTTTTTCTTTCCAAATGTACCTAAAGAATGATAGCTCTTCATCCAAAAACATCCATGGTAATGCAGTTGTTGACTTAGTTCTTTACAGATTAAGAACACTGGTTATGTTGATTTTGCAGATATTCAGCATGTTTTTCCTTTTAATCGTCTACTTTGATCAAATTTATACAATCAAGGATAAAAAGTAATTGTTTTGTATTTGCCCCTCACAGAATCTGGTGGAGCAACAGTCAGTAAGAATTATGATGTAAATGACCTCCCTGGGCCACCATCCAAACCTCAGGTCACTGATGTTACTAAGAACACTGTCACCCTGTCCTGGCAACCAGGGACCCCTGGAAGCCTACCAGCTAGTGCATATATCATTGAGGCTTTTAGGTATGTGAATTATTCCACTTTTAATCTCCTTCCTTTCTAATTTTGCTTAAACCCTGGTACCAGCTGTTCTCTTGGTATTGTGGTGTTCTTTTTGACTCTACACATATCATTATAAGTTCATTAAAAGACTCAACTTCTATGGCAGGCATTGATTTTTATTTTTTAAATTGATTTTTTAAAATTTATCACTTTTTTCTAAGTGATTAATTAGAGGAGCATCTAAGTAATTCTTCAGGTCAACAGGAATATAACAGGACAATGCAGTCATTATCTGTTACTTTTCCCTTGGCATTAATGATCAGTGAGTCTCCTGTGGGAATGCTGCGGGTCAAATCATTTGGACCAGTGTTATCTTGACTATATAGTACAAATAATCTGAAAATAAATGGATAAACCTGAAGCCTCTCTGCATACTTTAGTTGCTGTTCTTGTTAAAGTAAAAGCGATTAAAGAGTCAAAGCACTTTAAATTTCTATTTTTTACTGTTTTAGATAGATTAAAACTTTTAACTAAAGAAGCTAGTGTTAATAATTTGGGATTTCATCCTGCAACCTGAGGCTAAGAGAATCCAGCTGCTCCCTTCCACACAGCGGCAATTAATATACAATACGGAAGAACTCCTGGGCTCCAATTCAGCAAGTTTGTTTAAGCATCAGCCATACCTCTCACATGTATCAGTAATACATGCTTCGGCTTAAAAATGTGTATATTCTTAAACGTTTCCCTTAATCAAGATGTTCAACAAATGACAAATAATTTAGTTCATCTTTTAATTAAAATTTATACAATAATTTGTGAAAATAGTATGCATGCAAATTGAAGAAGTTATAGCAATAATGCTTCATCCTGCTATGTTAATATGCAAACAGCATTACTGTATGTGCAGATTATTGATTATTCTGGAACTTACCTTTTATGCATTACATGGATGAAATAATTGAAACAACATGAAACTCACAGCTTTCCATTTTCTTTTTCCTTTTAATATATTTAAAGAATTTCTTAATCAATGCTCTACAACAAAGCACAATAAAATAAAATTTTCTCTTTAAACTTTTGTGATATTTCACCCTAGATAAGCTTTAATGGCATCCCATCAATAACTTTAACAAAAGCCAGGCATTTTCATTAAAAACTGTTTTAACAATCACACTTGAAATCTCTTCGTACAGTGGATTGTAATCTAATTATAATAATGTCCAATGGAAATGTAGTGACAGAAGAAATATTCATATGGTTTCCATCATTTACAAGCACATTTTCAGAAGGTTTTTTTGTAACTTTGACTATGAATTTATTTCAAGGAGAATACTTTTCTTCCAGTGACAATTTATTGATATAATTTACTTAGCAGTATAGAAAATTTTTCTTTTAACAGGATTTTCTTTTCTAAGATTTATGTTCAAGAGTGGCTTATTTATCATTCGACATTACTTTACAGTTTTCCACACTTTCTTTTTGTAGGCATTTATTTTAGAGAGATAGCAAAAGCTTTTACTTTTGACAGTTGTGGGTTTTTTTTATCCTGTCTCGATGAGTTAACTGAAGCAAATATTTTTATTTTTACTCTGCTGTTACTACTTTTTCCTGTACTGAGACTTGATAATAGGGTGACAAAAGCAGGTCCTATCACTTCCTTACTTTTCCCTTGCATTAATCTTCAACCCTCTTCTCATTGCAGTCAATCTGTGAGCAATAGCTGGCAAACGGTGGCTAACCATGTGAAGACCACTCTCTACACTGTGAGAGCACTGCGCCCCAATACAATCTACCTGTTTATGGTGAGAGCTATCAACTCACAAGGTCTGAGTGATCCCAGCCCTATGTCAGATCCTGTCCGAACACAAGGTAATAGTAATTATTAAGGCTTACGTGCTTGAGCTAAAATAGGAAGAAGTAACTGAGAGTTGACCAATAAGTCAGTCTGGCCATTTGGCTTTAGCACTCTGACTGAATGAATCATGAATGGAGCTTAACCAATAAAGATAAAAAACAGTTCAGTGTTTGCTGTATCAGTCTGGAGCTTAGGAGAGATAGGTTAGCTCTTTAGTCCTTTGTACACTGTAGACCTTTTGGTTGGCAGTTCACTTAGACTTGGTGTCTTCCTTCATGTCTGGTTTCTGTTGAAAGTAATGTGAGTTACCCAAGCCTTTCTGAAAAGTGGTCTGAATACCATGCTCTCCTCAGTGTCTTTTCTCTCTGTTTCCTTACTTCTTCTCCATTATTGTAATAGGAATATACTATAATAACAAGTGGTAATGACAGGCACAGTGTTTAGTATTAGTTTTAATCAAAAGAATTGCATAAAATATCTGTAGTGTGTTGATTAATCTGATCCAATGTTCATATAAGAGAATTCATGTAAATTAAGGCATCTGCATGCTAACAATGTTTTGAAGTTGTTCTGAGAAAAGTATGGGTCTTCTATTTATATACATAGATTTCTGAATTATTTATATTAATCCACTGTATAAAGCAAGAGGGAAGGCTGAAGTGAAAACCCTCAGTTATAGGGTGGTGATATAACTGGTAGATGTGATCTGTCATTGCTATTGAACAGACTATTGAATTCTGTTCACGTTACATCAGGCTCTAACTGTGTATAACTGCCACAAACAAATTTCTCTTCACAGCATGGACTTCTTTAGCTTTGATAACACGTTGCTTGAATACTTCTTTCAAGAGTGTGTTACTATGTTAAATGGGTTGGAATGCAGGAATTAATAATTTTTTTGAATCATAATTTTTTTCAAGTCCAAAGTAATAGCTCATCTCACAGTTGATTTAGAATAAGATCTTCTGTCTCTGTTTATGGAAGTTATAAAGTGTGCATGGAGAGTGCATTCTGTGTCAGCCTCCAGCATGTGTAGGTCTTTTGGGTCCTTTGAGTCCTTTGCTGGTCCTAGATGGAAAGAAAGAAACAAGAGTAGGGTCATATTTATTATATAACCATCTGTCCTTAATAATTATCCCCTAAAAGTAGTAATCACTGCTGTAAAAGGAGAAACAGAGCTTCTTTCTGAAAAGATGAAGGAGTGAGTTAGGCAGGGATTTTGTGGCTTGACTATCTATGGATTATTACAAGTTTTCTTCTCTTTCTTACTCTTCCATTATTATAGAGAGACTCATGCTTTTCATTACACCAGTGTTTTAGTCTGCATAACGTATCACCTAGTTAAAAAACGAACTTTGTTTGGCGTTTGAGTGTCACTTTTTATCTGACATACTGACAAGCAATTTGATTTCAGTAAAAACATGTCTTTTAATTAGCTACAGCATGTGTTGCAGCTTCCATTTCCAGAAACTGTTTAGCAGTCAAGCACACTGAGACATGTACAGGATTTATAGCTTCTTTGCAAGCCTGCAGTTTAATAGAATTAAATCATAAAATCAATTGAAAATTAACATAATGTTTTGATGTGATTTCTAATTATGCCTGAATTCAATTCAGCTCACAGAAGAAGATGACATACAGTAGAAGGTCTATTCACAGTGGCCACAGAGGAAGAAAAAAGCAGCTATAACAGTGCTGTATAATATTACTTTGCAACAGGTGTCTGTGGTAGCTTTAATAGCTGAGCATTTAATATCATAATATTAAGTACAGCAAATACATGTGATTGGATTTTATGTATATTTTCACCAGTGGACTACAAGTAGACAATCAAGCACTTTCAAAAGATTTACCTTACATGACTGACATCAAATAAGGACAGAGAAATCAGTAAATACTCTAAGAAAGGAGTTGATTTCTTGTTTGGATTATTAACAGACCAAACCATATATTAAAAAAACACTTTAAAGAACCTATATATAATCCTATCCCTGGAATTTAAATTACTAGCAATAGAAAGTTCACTGGGAGCTGTTAAAAGAAAGGTTAGAGAAAATACATAACCAATTTAATTTTAGAAACCTCTTAATTGAGATAAAATGTAGCTGTGGGTATTTGTAAGTATTTTGTACCAAGGATCATAGCTTTTTGTGGATAACAGCATAAATTATCATCGTGTAAACCAGTATGAGTTGCTGTCTTACAGATTTATTATATCTCTCTGTTTCTTGGTCACTTTGAATAGGCATAATTTGCTAGACAGTCTCCTTCACTGACATCCATATTTGGATTATATTCCCTTTGTTGATCCATGGAGCCATTTTCATTTCATCAGTGGCAATATTGTTTATTGGTGGCTCAGAATCCATAACAATCCAGAATCATGAAGCTGAAATATTGATGATCAAAACCTACTTTATTTCAAAATCTGAAGGCATATGATTCAAACTCAGTTGTTATATTAAAATGTTTTATTTTTAAGAGCACTATTATTTCTTCTTAATAATACTTAGGAGATAAAAAGGAATCACATGCTGCATACTCCCATATCTAAGACCATCATAGGGGGAAAAAAACCCTTTTATGTATGTATTCTCTTTACAAAAACATGATGTTGATCCAAAAAGAGGGAACGTGTCTTTGGCTAGTGAATCCCATGGAAAGACCAAGCAGAGTTGAATACAGTCTGTGCTTGTGTTCCAGATCCCCTCTTCTGGAAAACTTACAAGCAAATTCCAGCAGAAATAATCAGTATGTTTATTTCTCACAGCCATTATTCAATTCACATAGACAACTGACACAGTAAGGGCTTCTGTAACTGTTGACTAAAAATGGCATTGTAAGATCCTTGAAGGATCCACTGAAGGGATCCAGACTTTACTGGCTCCTCGAAAGTATCTTCACTTCCGTCTGAGTTGGAGGGAAGAGGCGTACAATGGTGATATAATAGCTAGGTGATAGCTGTAGCCCAACATTTTCCTTTTGGTGTAATGTAACAGAAAATTATTATTTCCAGGAACTATCACTAAAGAGACACATTGCATATCTCCTCCATTTTCTGACACTTATTTTGTATTTGCAGTTCCTATTTAGCAAAGGCAATACAGCTTCATTCAGTTTCACACAACGGCATAACCCAAATGTGGTCCCTAAGGAGTAGGTACTAGGGCTGCATGTGGTGCTTGAGACGGATTCACAGTTTTCTATGGATGTATATTAAATGATCAAATTCCTACAGATTTTGACTAGAAAAAATAATTTACACACACACTTTGAAGAAATCTTTGACATAATCTTGAAGAGAAAATTTTTGTAGTAGATTGTTTTTGTTGACTTTTTATAAGATAAGAATCAGTTTGGCTTCATAAAGTACTTCTTTTTTCATATTTGCACTAGATTTCATTATCTGTATCTGTAAAGGGAAATTTTGCTTTGCAGAAGAAAATGCTATTTTTAGTGTTCAGTCTCTTGTGTGTACGGTATGTGGGGAAGGGAAGCTTAGTGAAATTTTGGAAACTTATAATGACTTAATGTCACGCATGCTCTAAGAAAATAAAAAAAATCTGTTAATTTTCTTCAATTATACTGACCAATTTGGTTCCAGACATCTGGGCAACATTATTATTGTCTGAGTATTTTGGAACTAGTGAATACTGCATCTCTCTCATCACTTACCAGATCTGAGAAAACTTTGCCATCGAGTCTGAATACTCATTTCAACATCTTTATATTTCATGATTTTCTGAGCAGCTAAAGGTGAATGGTTTGTTTGCATTACTTGATATGCTTTGGAGTTCATATTTAGACCTCAGCATTACTATAAAGGGTGTTTTAATCAGGTCATTAAGCTATTCAGTAATTCTTATTGATGCCATATAAGTTTTCCTGTTAAAATAATGCTTTCATGTGTGTGCCTGGCCTGGCAGATATCAGCCCACCAGCACAAGGTGTGGATCACAGGCAAGTCCAGAAAGAACTGGGAGACGTCATTGTACGACTGCATAATCCTGTTGTGCTGACACCCACGACGGTTCAAGTCACCTGGACAGTAAGGGTTCTGTTATTATTACCTTAACAGTACTTTAATTTTGCCTATTTATCACATCAGTGTTTTACTACCCTGAAAAAATCCAGTCCTGACCCCAATGTGAGTGCTCTGATAAACTAACATTATACAGGCGTATATATGCGGTAATGAAATGATCTTTTTATTTTCTCTTTCAAGTCAGGCAGGTTCAAAGTCTTCAGTGTTCAGCTCAAACTGAGCTAGCTGTCTGACTAGAAAAATATTATAAAAATTAATATGCTTAACACCATAATCTAAAGGATAATTGATCTGTGGACTCATTACTGTGCATGCCAAAAAATAATCAAAGCTAAGTATCAACATGAAATTGTTGTATAAAAAAGCACTTTCCACTTCAAGGCACAGGGACCCCTGACAATACCCTATTATTTGGTGACCCTAAAGTACAAAAATAGCTTTATTACAGGGCACTTGGAGTGAAGTCAGAAGCACATGGTGCTGATGCCTGATCCACTCTGTAGCATCTGGTTTTCTAGCATAAGCCTTACCCACAACCAGTGGATATCCTTTCATTATAGAAGACCAGAATCTTTTTTGGCAGTACTTAACAACGTGTCTATTTGAGGGGTCAAACTACTGGGTAGAATTTCTGATGGAGTGTTTTGCTTTCAAAATGCTATGCTTCCCTTCCTGAGGCTTGAAGGAAAGGATTTGTAACTGTAGAAGGAGAGAGTTTCCAGGGCACTGTGCACCAGAAAAGAGTGCTTTACTCTTGGGGCATCTGCCTCAGAGGAAGGAATGTCATGGGTGGAAATAGTACTGCTCTGCACATCACTAAAACAGTTGTATTATATAGGATTAATTCTGCTAAAGGGATATTCACAGTACTCAGGGTTTTTCTTCTACATGTAATATTGCTAAGAGGTTAATGTGTACAGGGGATTATACAACAGGAGATAAGAAGTGCAGTGATAGATTTTGTATTATAAGGATTACTCTTGGTTTTTCCACAACCCGGGTGTATTTAGAGGGCCATATGCACCATTCTTGTTCTGACAGATTTCAGTGGTCAGGAGACAGATTAGAATAAATACAGAAACCCACAAATTTGTCTGGTTTAGAAGATTATTTAGAAAATGTGTCATTGCCTTTTGCCATTGATGATGCAAACATGCAGCTTGCCTTTCTAAAAATGCTCTCTGTTTCAACTACATTACTGCAGGACAGGCTGACTAACCTTTGTAGCAAACCCTTTTTCCCAAGCAGACATTTGCCCAAGAAGATGGGTATGTAGTTTAGAAACTCTGGAAGTTAGCACCTGTGTGATGCTCTTTCAAGTCTTTTCTTGGTTGTGACTGCTGCCAGAAATAGTTTCATAGGCTTGCCCTTGCTTTAGCATATACTATAAAAGGAACCCCCAATATAAACAGAATTCGGTTTTACACAATGTAACCAATGTCATTATATAATAATGAAATATATATGTATGTATTTATGGATGGGGGTATGTGTGTATATATATATATATATATATATATATGCATGGGTGTGTATGTGTGTGTATGTGTGTGTATACATCTCTTTCTCTCCATCTATCTAAAAGAGTCTCTTAGTGCCCCCTCTGAAAAAGTAATCAGTGAAGAAAACATAGTGAGGTAAAGGTGAATTGTTAGGGATGTTATGGATATCAGCTTATTGGGAAGATTCCTCAAATCAGTGACCTTGTGCCACCTGACAAGCATACAGGCCTCTGTAGAGATGTTTCAGAATTGCCCAAGGGAAGGAAGACACAAAAAAAAAAAGATCTCTGGAACAGCTAATTAGAAACTTTGCATCAAACAGAACAAAACCACTTAATTAACCATAGTCTCTAGGAAAAAAGCCACTCTATCCAGACAGTAAAAGTCCACACTATTAATATAAAATGGTTAGACAGTGTTGCTGTCATACAAAAGGACAGAAGTGCCATGAGAGTCTTAAGTCTGTGTTGACTTTATGCAGTTCAAAGAGTAAATGCCAAGGAATGTCCTTGATTACTGACTTTCTGACTCCCAGCAAATTAACAGCAATTCTCCTTTCTTTCTGAGATAGTTTTAGTTTTGCTTACTCTTTTTTTTTTTTTTTTCCAAAATTGAGTTTAAAATTTCAGAAATAGCTCACTTCTACAATGGTGCAATTTTAAAATATAAACATACATTTTAAAAGAAGGACAGGCCTATAAAGTCAGTTTGAAAAAAAAAAAAAAAAAAAGGGAAGTAGAACGTCAGAAGTTGTTTTCATTGTCACTTAAACGTATTCCTCTTGTGCATAAGTATTAAAGTGTAGCTGTAATTATCTGGTCACATACAGGATCTCTTCTCCATGGAGCTATTCAACATTTCTTTTTATCTTTATTCACTGTGTGGTGCCAGGTCTTATTAAATTCATGCCATTGAAACCTTGCATTGAATAAAAAATTATTAGTTTGTTTCACATGCTCGCTTATCTGTCATCCTCTGAACCGTAACATTTGGGTGCTTCACAAAAAATACTGAATTTTAACATCACAATGATAAAATGTGTCATTATCCTGACTTTACACATACAGAGGTGAGGTACAGAGATATTTATTGGTGATGAGACTTACGGAATCAGATACGGCCACGGTTATCAAATGGCTAATATTAAAGCTTGGGCCTGATTTATTTTTACTTTTATCAAAACATTTTGCATTGCAACAGCATATGGTGTACTCCAAGCACTTTTTTAGCTGACCTCTACTATAGTTCAGCACTTACAGCCTCACTGGGCGTTAAACTGAGTTTCATTAGTGGCCAGATGTAAAGTTTTCTAGATTTACAAAGGAGCCCTGTGGCACAAGCAGGAATAAAAGCCAGTTCTTCAGTATGGCAAAAGAACAGTTGCTTTGAAATTCTGACTGCCTTCTAGGAGGCTACCCACCAGAAGGATAATTTATTTACCTCTGTCTTTTAATTTGACACTGATTTTAAAGGAATGTACTTCACTGGAAGCTTCAAGAGTCATGTCCTTTAGATAGTCTTCTGGTGTATCGCCATCTTTTGTCTTGTTCCTGTAAGACAGATAAATGCTAGGGCTGTTTGAATTTCCAGAGATTACTGTGAGTCTGTACTAGTGAGTTCAGTAGGTGCAAGGTATTCTGCCCAGATGGAGAACTGCTGTGGGTATTGATGTGGGAGCAGAGTATTTCTTTGGATATTTTGGGTTAGAAATTTGCATACTACAGAGCATATTGTAAAATGTGTTTTAGCGCACAGATTAGCAGGTTTGCCTGAAAGGAGTTTATATTTGCAGCATAAACTGCATTGTGAGTTTCTTGCCGTCTTTTTAACAACATAATAGCCTAACTATATGATCTAATAGTCATTCAACCTGTCTCATGTTCATCTGCAATATATGCAGATTTGAACATGCAGGGAAAACAAGTTTTCCGTTCTGCAGAAATGGAGAGCTGTTGAAAGTTTTGTAGATACCTCCTGCACTACATATTCATCATAAATGAGGGTGAGAAGGAGCATGCAGGACCAATTATGCTTGTAGGTAGCCTTAAAGCACTAGGTCAGTGCTGAGCAGAACCTACCCAGTAATTGCTCTTTTCTGTCTTTTAAAGGAGAATCTGCATTTTCTGCCATCTGTCTTTTGTGGGAGAAAGGGTATCTTTAGATCAGCAACCGTTGCAGATCTTTTGAGTGGATGTCACTGCTGCTTGTACAAATTCAAGAGTAGTAAAGAGTGTCTCAGGAAGACTAGAAATATTCTCTGATCCCAGTATTCTGCACAGAGAGTTCCTGCAATCTCTGTAATTATGCTAAGTACTTTGTACTCAGGAAAAAAAAAAAAAAAAAAAAAAAAAAAAAAAAGAGAGAGAAAGGAGACTACCTAGAAATTATTACATTATTTCATTAAATCATGGTGCACGTTTCTGCAACTCTGCCTATGTGTGAATGTATGCCATACCTATAGAGTTGTTTGATGCTTACCACAGCTGAATACAGCTCTTTAATGCTATGCATGCTTTTAGTGGCCTGCTGATGGTGTGACATGTAATTAGCACATAACAAATGGAGGAGACAATGAATTCACAGGTTTTGTATTATATATAAGTCTGTGTGTGCATGTACATATAGATATGTACACATGTGCCTGTGTGTGCATGTATACATTAACAACCTCACAAATATCTCTGGTTAATCCATGTAATTATCCAAGACAAATTTTTTGCTAATCAGAAAACTCCAAACAAAACACAAAAAATCCACCTTAGTAAGTGAAGTGGCCTCTCAGCTGTTTCCCAACATTTTTGACTATATGAGAGGCTCTGTTCATTCCTGCTAGCTTTAAGTGGGCGTGAGAGATAGCTTTGTATCTTCATCTTGATACTGAATGCAACTGGATGTTTATAAAAAACATTAAAAATGCATAGTATTTTCTTTCATAAGTACCCTCCCAGACCCTGAACCAGTGGAATCACTGTCAATGATCTGAGATTTGGGCAGATCACTCAAACTTCTAATTGAAAGCTCTGTGAAACTTGCGTGAGCCCCAAATCAAGCTAGTTTATAGCACCCAAATACATGACAGCCTTGTTGTATTACTGCGTTTTGTTTTCATATTCCTCGTATTGTTTAGTCTTTTAGGTTAGGAACTTAGAAGTCTAGGAGGAAAAGTGGTGTATGAATAATTTATATACTACTTATATGTAAGTAGAGAAAAAGTGTGGTGGACTCAAAATTAATATAATATAGGTATACTGTAGGGGTTCAGTTCTTAGTGCGTTGGTGGATGCATTTGTGCTTGTACCATGCCATACAAAACAGTTTCCATACCGTTTTGTAACACCGTTACTGTTAAGTGTAGTCAATTCCAAATTTTCAGATGTTCTCCACTAGGCAGCAGTCAGTAGAGCTTAAAAGCACAATAAAGGCAAAATGAAAAGTTCTAAGAAAGTTTTGCCGTCTTTCAGCATAGCTTCTAACTCAGAAGTGAGGCAGGAATCAAACTCAGTATTTGATTATTAAACATCATAGCCTTATATTATAATTTACGTTGAGAATCTGTGTTACAAAGTGCATGGAAGTGTTATTCTTGCTGAATTTTGTAGTAAACATGAGGTTCTTAAAGTCTTTATGTCCGTAAAACATTTAGTTAATCAAAGTCAAACATGGATAAAAACAATTTACTCTGATTTACAGACTCCCTTCATCTGGAAACAGCTGCTTAATGTTCTTCTTAAAAACACAGCTTGATTCTTTCGGTATTAACAAGCTATTATTGTGAGTTATATCCCTCTTTCAGTGCATAAATTCACTTAAAGTGAATGTAGAGAAGTTTATAAAATGCAAGCTTAATGTTGTTGTAACATATGTTGCAAGGTTTTTAACAGTGACAGTTTTGATGAAAGACATTTCTGCTTTGCTCTCATAAATAAAGCTTTCTTCTTGCTTGCCCTGCTTTTTAATGTCTAAGAATCTGTGTCCCCTCTGAATGCCTCAATAAACTATAACAAGATTATAAGAGAAGCGTAATAGACCCTGGTTTGTGTTTTCAGCCTTAAATTCATTTATTCTTAGGAGAAGTCAAACAAATATATCTCTAATTCTGAAATATCTTTGAACTTGCAAAATGTCAAGAACAGAAAAGAAATCCTACTTGTTGAATCTTAGTTATAACCCAGAGATTTACTAAGCAGCTAGTTGTATAGTCTTGTTATTTGTGCTGCACGTTCCTTGGCTGTTTATTTGATGGCTACAGAAGCAGCTGGGTTTGGTGTGGTTTTATCCATCAAATTGTTTTGACTTTTTCCAGGCACAATCCATGCAAGCATCATAATAGCTCACATTATCGGTTTGTGCCTTTTTTTTTTTCCCAAGAGAAAAAATGCATGCAACCTCTCCCAAGATAAAACACATTTCAAGTTTTTCCTTAAAAAAAAATTCCTATTTGTGTCTATGATAGGTTACAATTGTTAAACTTTTATGTATGTTCCGATCTTGAATTGTGCATGCCTAACAACATATAAAATATAAACCAAACCCAACATTCCGTCTCCATCTGATGGCCTGAGAGCATCACAACCCCAGGAAGCAAAAAGACTGCTTAAACTGTGAATGCAGAAACAAAACACGTCCTTGGAAGTTTTCTCTGCATCTGTCTTATGTTTATTTTAGTTTCCTGAGCATCTCATGAAAAGATGAGCTGTGAGCCAAGTAATGGACTAACTGAAAGCATGTAGGGTATCTTCAAAGACTTGTCCTTTTCTGAAAAGAACTTGTTTTTCTGTTCTTTTGATATTTCAGCACATCAGTAGCCAAGATGTGCTTAATAAATTTAGGTGAAGTAAGCATTATGCCAAAGTTCTCTTTTCATGATTTGTTGCATGGGTGGGGCCTTGTTTTATGATTTAAGGTGGTATTTGTCATGATATATAGATCTGGAGAAAGTAAAATAGAAATAAATGTTCTGTAATAAGTAACGTGAGAAAAATGTGCTTTATAGACAACAGTAACTTACAGGAAGGCATTTTGATTTTTAAATTAAGCATCTTGAACAACTGTTAATTTTCTCTTTTTCACGAGGACAGAAGTTTTCTAGGGAAATGTTGTTTTTTCTTTTTATACTGTTTTGTTACTTTAATGTGTTTATTGATGGATTATTTAATGACATTTCTAGGTTGACCGGCAATCCCAGTTTATTCAGGGCTACCGTGTAATGTATCGGCAAACGTCTGGCCTACCTTCTCCGGGTGCATGGCAGAATTTGGAGGTCAAAGTCCCAACTGAGCGCAGTGCTGTTCTCGTCAACTTAAAAAAGGGGGTCACTTATGAAATTAAGGTTCGCCCTTATTTCAATGAATTCCAAGGAATGGACAGTGAATCAAAGTCTGCTCGTACCACAGAGGAAGGTTAGTAAAATGGTCAGAAAAGCAACAAATCCATACCCAACATTTTGTATCCAACACTGAAGGTGAAATCAAGAGTGACTGTTCTGGTTATTGTGTGTATGTGTATGTTCAGCTCTGTATCTTCCACATGATTTCCATTTGTTAGATATCGGGTTGGCATGAGAATTCAATATAACATTCAGTTTTGTGCTGTAAGTATTCCATGTGAAAGCGTTGGGCCAGTCCTAGATTCTTCTGACTTGTCCTTCAAATGTACAGGTGGCTTTGGGTCTTCAAAAAGTGTGCACTGCAGCCAATCTTTTATAACTGGTGTTGCTGCAATAAAATACTTTGGTCTGCACTTTGAAAATAAAACTAATAAATGAAACCTTTAACAGGAGTGTTTGACATTAATCACATCTTTCTGAATGGGTACTAATGTAGATGAACAGTTTGGTTGGGAAATGGGGACCAGTGAAGGACAGATTTCTAACTAGTCTGAAGGAACTCCAGTCTCAAGGGTATGCCACTTTATTGTTTCTGTTAGCACACTGTTCATAAAACTGCCCTATTTAGTCCTTTGGAGAATTTCCTTAAATACCTTTTTCATGCTTCTGTAAAACATGGAGGATGCAGACATAGGAAAGAGTTTACACTACTGAAATGAACAGGCATTTATATCTATAGCATGTAGCATGGGATATAGTTTTGCTAAAGCTCATGCACTCCAGGGCTGTTTTTTTATTGAAAAGGGAGTGAGGTGAGATATAAGTAATTTTTATCTTTTTCTCTTACAAATGTACAAGAAACCTATCTTTCTACCTTTCTAATGCAACCTTTGCCTGGAGAATCTCTCCCATAAAAGTAGAAGAATGATCATAACAATTAGGGTTCATCTTCTCTCTGTTTCATTGAATTCTTTCAAAGCAAGGGAAAGAAAGAGCAGTGAAGTTTCAAAATGCTCATATGGTTTCAGTGGGTTTTGAGTGCCCTCTTTCCTTTCTATTGAAGATGCATCTTAATCATTTACAGTAGTCTCCTGAGGTTTAATTTAGTGCTGATTGCCAAGTACTTTTTAATTCTAGAATGGACTTGCTTATTACTCACTCTTCTCTTTGATTTGTTACGGTTATCGCCCAACAAGTAAGTAATCATGAAGATAACTTGGTTTCTATAGAAGAGGAAATTCAGTGTTCTGAAACATGTAGGAGAGCATGTAGGAAGGCATTGTTCAAGTCTGATCTAGAATTTGGGACTTTATGGTTCCCATTTCTTTATTCAGAATATAAAATCAGCCAGTAAAGAATACATTCATGGCCATCTGAACAAAACTTAAGAAAAAAAAAAAAAAAGAAAATAGAAAAGAGCTTTCTACCAGTGAAATTTCTTTTCTAGATTTAAAATGTAGGAATTTGTCCCCTCACTAGCAGATTTTCTTTCCAATTTCAATTGATTTTTGTTGTTTATTTAGTTCATCTAACTGTCTCTTGCTAAAGGTAAATTAAGAACTACTGAAAAAAAGAGAGAAGATTTTGTATCTCCTGTCTATTTCTATAAAATAGTTGAGGAATGACATTTCCTTTTATAAACCTCAGCTCCCAGCAGAGCTTGTCAGGTAATTTCCTACTTTAAAAGCCACATTGTTCATGTGGAATAACTCTCCATGTATTGAAGACTTAAAAAACTTTTCTTGCCTACAGATATGTATAACTAACAGCCTAGGATCTACTTTCTAGATTAATATAAACTTCAAGGAGTCTGTTTACAAGTATCTCTCTCAAAAAGATCAGCCTATAACATGTAGTATTATCACCAAACAAGTGTCAGCCCCTGTAAATAGTTACTCCTCTTGCTTGGGTGATAAAGTTAGGTACTTCCATGAGAAAAATAAGACATTTAGTGGATGCAGTTCTACAGATATTTCCTTTAATTCCTCACATTATCTTTGTAATTATGTTGGTGTTCATATATTTCAAAAATAACATCAACTAAATATTGACAGTGGTTTTCTTCTCATCCAATGAAGAAAGATGGCAGTCTATTTAAAGGTATCCCACTTGCTGTGTTGCTTGTGATTCCATTTTGAAAATGAGCTTTTTTAGACTTGACTTTTTAAAAATGTCAGCTACACTATTTTTAGAAAATAATTTGGAAGAGTGATACATGCGTTGGAAGGTTTTTGCGACATCAAAACAAATAGCCCTGGTAAAGGCAAAGTGCGACCAAAAGGTAGTGGCAGCTTTCTGCTGGATTGAATTTTACATGCAGTGTTACTTCTGAGGCCTACCTCCAGAAATCAATTTTGCTGCAGTTAGACTATTCCTCTAGATCAGACATTTGTCACAGTTCAGTATCCATCCATCTCCTGCCTCTTTGGCCTTGTGAAGGTAACAAATGGAATTCTGTTTGGCTGCGTCTGGGAAAGATGAGCAGCGATTTGGGTTCTTTCATATCTGTAAGAAGAAGCTGAGCACTGGAATAATTGACCTGTCAAGAAGCAGGCAAGGTGTTCTCCACAAGCCAGCAGCAAGGGAAATGAGAAAACGGTTTTAAAAATGTTATTTTTCAATGTGGTCTATTTAATAACTCCAGCAGTGTCAGACAAGTGGCTTAATTTATATCATGGTGCCAGCTTGCAGAGTGATATAATCAGAGAGAAGAAGCAGAACCGTTATATACATATATGTGTATACACATAAGAAAATGAACTAAATAAAATATTTTATAATTTTCATGGGTTTTTTTCACACAGGCTCTAAAGATAGGGTTTGGGTTTTGGTTTGGGGTTTTTTTTTTTTTTTTTCAATTTTACATCCACTGTTTTAAATCTCTTTTGGAATAACTTTGTGGAGTAATATTTGTTTTGCATAGTGTTTGTCATGACAAAAATATGACAGTTGGTAATGGACGTCTCTTTATTTTTTTATAAGATGCTGTCTGTCAATTCCTTTTTCCTTAGTGCAGCTCTTAAAACGATACTTTCAGCTGCATTCATCAGCTGCAATTTTAATTTTGTTTCAGACTTACCATATAGCCTCAAAAAAACCCCTGACTCACACTGGTAGAATATTAACTAGAATATTCATGGAGTTTAAATGCAAAGACAAATGAATACAGTATGTTTTTCTTTAAATGAGTATGGTATTCATTTTACATTTCTTCAGCATTTATTCCTTCTCTCTGTTTCCAGAGGTATGTGTATATAAGAAATTATATTTCTGAATGCCCTTTGTGTTTGAGGATGAAAGTAAATACATTACAGCAAGTTGTTGCATTGTACTTAAACAAAAACTAGCTATACAGTGTTAAGCTTTACCATTATTATGATTATTATTTTCATGTAAAATATTGTTCTAATTAATATCGCACGCATACATTTATTCATGGTCTTGCTGTTATTGAATAACTTGGACTTTTAAAATGCTGATTTTTTTACTGTGTGGCAAATTATTTCACTTGCCATAAAATACACAATGCAACTATTAACTTCACCAAATTTATGCTTTGCACGATTGCAAGGAGTAGCCCAAGGCCACGTTTCCGTGCTTCACTTGATCTGGCTAAGAGTCAAATTTTCCACAATACAGCACCATTTCTCCCCTTCAGTACACTGTGTCTCTGCATCATTCAAGGTCAAAAGGACTCTACCAAGCACTGTTTGCTTTGCAGCTGAACCATCATCTGAAAATGTAGTTCTCAAAAGGTGCAGCCTCACAAGATAGCAATATATGTGTCATTTTTCCTCTAAAATATTTTTTTTCTGATGTAATCTTGTATAGTCCCTTGTGTCCATCTCTGATACCCTCATTTTGAGGTGTGTTGTTCCTGCAACAGGCAACTCCAACTCTTCAGGGTTATCAGGGTAAGGATTTGAGAGCAGCTCCTTCAGCTTGTGCCCAGTCAAGTGCTGAGGAGCATCCAAAGTAGGAACCTAACCAGTCTCAAAGAGACCATGAGGAATAAGGAAATCTGACATGACTGAGGAGACTTGAATACTCCTGATATCTGTGGCTGTGTTTAGTTGTGTTAAACCTGCCAGACATTAATATGAAGATGCTAGTGGCTCTTTGCTTTTCCAAGAAGCATGGACCAAGGATGTTCATGCAGTCAGGAGTATCTGTTAAAGGTAAGACTAGAGTCCTTTTGCTGTAGATCTTAGCAGTGATGGAGTCCTCTCTGGATAGGAATACTTTAGACCAGGGACTGGAGTCAGGGAGCCATGACACACAATGTGAGATGCCCCAAACCAGAGGGCTCTCTAGATATGAAATTGGGGCAGGGGGGAGTGATAAAATATTTTAGGTTCTGGTACACGATAAGTCTTCAAAATAAGCTTCCATATTTCGTATTAAATATTTTAAGTTCACATTAAAGACAATGACAAATATGTGGAAGAAAATTCAATAAGAAGCTATTAAACACAAAGACATCACCATAGAACAGAAATTGTCAAAGCAACAGGAAAATCGTCCTGGAGGGGTATCACTATGAACTTGCTTTATTAGTTCACACTTTCCTAGCCCCTTTCTCTTAGTTTGGTTCAAGACTGGATAGATGGACTAGCATAAATGGACTAGATGGATCCTAGGACCAGTTCAGTGCAGCTGTTATCAATATTTTTTTTTCCCCAGGGTCTATACCTTAATATAATACACTCGACTTTGGTGACTTAGCTTGCCACTGCGGTGGAGTTTCCATCCTTCCCGAGAATTAATGGAAGCGGGGAAGGGCGGGGGGAGGGGGTGGGGGTGGTGTACGAGAGGTTTGAAGTGGCTGAGGAGGGACATCTGCCACAGCCCTCTGCCGTGGCAGCTATAGCTATGGTGGGAGAGCCCCCGCGTGGAGATGCAGCAGATGCTCACAGAGGGGACTTTTCCGTAGCGAAGCTGCTGCGCCACTTCCCAACCAACATGTCCTGAGCCAACAAAAGCACCCTGCTGCTGGTGTAGCTGCGAGAGGAGCTTTGCCAGCATAGCTCTGATCACTAACAGCTATGATTTTTTTTTATTTTTTTTTTTTTCTTCACACTTCTAGTCAACGTAGCAGGGCTGGCAAGCAATTGTCTTGTAGAGATGGCCTTGATATGCAGTAACCAGCCAAACAGCTGTGAATGGTTGAACTGAACAGGGCGCTGAAGAGAAAACAATTTGCCTAGGGAAAAGGGGACATATCTGACCTAATTTAGCACTTCCCCTGTTCACTGGCATTTGATGTAAAGCCCTGAACAGTTTAACCCTTTTCCACCTAGGAGTTGCAAGGTTTTATGTTTAAACCTATTAAGATAATGTCTTCCTGGAGAGTAAATAGGAAACCGAAAACCATCTGCAGCTCACATTTTTATAAGACCATGTCAGGAAAGAAGAATCAAAGCACTTTCCAGAACAGGTGAAGCAGCCTCACATTATGACTTAGTTGATATATCCATAGCTATCAATGAGTATTATGGAAAACAAATGTGAGCGTGAGAATAATTCCAATGCAAACTTAAGAAATGGTAAATATAAATAAATGAAGAGTGATTTGTATTGATTCTCCATCGCCACAAATTGCACATTGTCATTCAGCAGTATGCTTCTCTTTAGAAAGGCATTTTTCAAAATTGTCAGTGCCTAACAAAATGTACATACCTAGCCCTGCAGGAAGTGTGAACTTTGTACGCTGTCTGCTTGTTCTTACACTGTTTCAGCAAAATTCATGCTCTGACAAATGGATTAATGTCTTGCTTCTGTCTGTTCCCTCTCCTTGGTGTAGCTCCAAGTGCCCCTCCTCAGTCTGTTACTGTCCTGACAGTTGGGAACCACAACAGCACAAGCATCAGCATCTCCTGGGATCCTCCCCCTCCAGACCACCAAAATGGAGTCATCCAGGAGTATAAGGTAGAAACAATGTCTAATGAGAGGGTTGTGTGTTTACAGAAACAGCCTGCTGAATTACAGAATAATGCTGTTTATGGATTTAGATTCTGACAGCAGTTACAGCTGCCCATATTATTATATGGGGAAAGAGGACTGACGACTTAGGGATTTATTTTTTTTTAAGCAGTACTACTGTTATATTAAAAGGAAAAATACCATGAGCTAGATCTGAAAGAGAGTTGCAATTGCCAGCTAGTTTACAGTGCTTCTCTGTCTTGCTTTTCCCTGCTGTGGAAAGAGAAGAAGGGTTTTTTTGTTAAGGGCTTCTGCACTCTCAAGACAGGCAATGAAGTCCCTGTTTTAGAGTGCCTTCAATCTGGCAGAAAAGCTGGCAGGAAAGATACCTTGTCTTTCCCCTGCAAAAAAATGCTAATCCTAACACTTCAAGGTCAAAGTCAAGGACTGTGGCTCTGGAAGAATACAAGACTTCATCAGAGTACTATCTCTGTCAAGATTCACAATTTAAAGTGCTATGTTGTTTGCTCCAAGGAACAGGTTGAACACCACTACTATAAACAGAGTTTACTATATGAGAGTTGCCTGCATTGGTTGTATTTTCTCCTTTGATGCTATGATGGTTGATCCTTATATATCATCTTAAATTTTATTATAGTCTATAATTCCCCACTAAGCTCACTTTTGCACAAGTATATTTTCACAATGTGGAAAAAGTGTAGGGTGTTTTTAGGGTGAAGGTATATTGAGAAAATAATCAGGCAAGGTTCAATATTGTCACAGGAACACCCTGTTAAATAAGTTTGCTGTGGCTGGTTTGTATACCTAGTATGGAATTTTTAATTGAAATAGAGCAGGGCAGTTTTCTTAACAGTCCCAACAAAGCGTGGAACTGATGGATGCATCTTATTTCACACAAAAAGATGTGTGTGGGTTTTTTGTTTGTTTGTTTGTTTTTTTCCTGGTGTATCTTGAAGGAATAAAGCATCAAGAAGGGAGGAGGTGTTTGACTTTTAAATCAGCTAATGGTTCAACCTCTTCCAGTTTATCTTTTGGTCGGAGGGATGCAGTAAATACTCACAATATTTATGTTTAGCATATCACTTCTTTTGTTTTGCTTTTGGTCAATATCAAGATTTATTAATCCCAGTATATTATTGATCTCATTTTCATATCAATTAATAATTATCTTTTGTCTTAATTAATCTTGATACTGATTCCAGTATAAGTCGATATTAACCATTAAGGGCTTATAAGCAAATAAGTAAAGCACACTCCTAAACCACAAAATATGTAGATAGGAAACAAAGAGGGCTGATGGTTAATAAAAACGATGTTCCAGGTGAGTGCTCAGACATCTAGGCAGTTTATAAAAACAACTGGAGTCACTACCTCATACATCCCTTCAGTGTTAGATTAGATGGCCTCCTGGTTAGTGAGCTGGCTGCAGTGATTATAGTGCAAATGGTCTAATACTTTCTTGAGTATAAAATGACTGCTGAAGTTTCACAGTACATTTTCTAACAAATTGAACTGCATTTCAAGGATCAGAGTGCCTATAAACTAATTTATGAATTAAATGCCTTTAATTAGGGGTATCTTATAGCTGCTGTAACCTAAGACCAGCACAGACAAGGAGTGAAACAATGAATGTAATAGTTTCTCACCATAATGCTTTCTGGTCTGCAAATAAGATCTACTTGAGTTTAGGAGAACAAGGGTTTCTTTTGCCCTCCAAATCTTCTTCAGTATTTCACAGAAAAAAAAAGATAAGGTGTGATAAAACACTGAGCAGGATCAAAAATAAGGAAAATAAGAGTAAAGAGAGCATTGCTCTTGCTTAGATGCATCAGTTGGTTGCTGATAGTGGTTCCACCAATAGCACTTTCCTCTGCTATTATAGTTATGTAGTGTACATGTGATATCTTTATGCATTGTTTATCTTGAGTGGTATTAAATGCTTTCTTTAATAATACAGTAGTATATGCAGATAACATTAACTGAAGAATTACTAAAAGGTCTTGGGAAAAGCCTATAGAAAAATGCAAGAGAGAGACATAACACTGAAATCAGACTGTTCTCATCATAAAATGCCGATTTAGATTATAAGGTGTTTTTTCTGTTTAATCAGAGGGTAATTGAGTCAGGAACTGATATCTAGATTCCTGAATGTAAGTAATCACGAAAGCAGCAGTAAAAAGTGGGTTTCTGTTTATCTCATTTCACAATTTTCACATATCCCTGTTGTGCAATGCAAGGAAGTTGAAAAGGACTTTGAACAGTGTTTCTTCTTTAGTACTTTAAGAAGTGTTTCCTCCTGTGTTTGTATTTTTTTTGTGTCCTTTTGCTATTCAGTGGGAAATTAACAATGAAAAAAACATGGGTTTTTTTTAGGAAATGTTTGGTAGTAATCATATTACTGAAAAAATATTTCAATTAATGTATAATGCCTCTTTTTCACTTGGATGATTCTGGTCTGTGCCTCTAAGAACTGTAACCCCAGAATTGCACTCCATGGAGAGCCATAGTCCCAAGAGGTATTTGCAAGCAGTCTTTGCAGCTGGCTTGGTCCTGTGCTAATCTGGGATAGCTTGCTGAGCTAAGTCATCCCAACTCCAGTACTCCTGGACAGCAACATTGTTAAGAAATCCAAAATAAGTGTTTATCCTTCAGTACCTTGATATGTCATATCTATGCGTAATTGTGTATTGAGTATGAAGAATATAATATTTTTTAACACATCAACTTTTGTCTCAGATCTGGTGCCTAGGTAATGAGACTCGATTTCATATCAACAAAACAGTAGATGCAGCCATTCGGTCTGTAGTAATAGGTGGCCTATATCCAGGTATTCAGTACCGCGTGGAAGTTGCTGCAAGCACCAGTGCAGGTGTGGGAGTAAAAAGTGAGCCACAACCCATAATAATCGGTAAGTGATTGTTTGTTTTGTTGTGTTGTTTTGCCTGTTTCAACTTTCAGAAATGCTTTCATAAATCACTTCTGGAAGCATAAAAATCCATGGAGCAAAACACAATTTGAATAGAGCTAGTTAGTTAGCTTTTAACATCCGGCTGCCTCCTGGCATTGTGTCTTCTCTTTGTGGAGAGTTCTCACAGGCAGTGGAGGGAAATATGTTCCTGAGACATATGAGAAAATGCAGATTATCTAGTGAAACTGATTTAATTTTTTTTTTTTATGAATTTACCACTTCTGCAGGTTGATGGATTTATGGAACTAACAGCTTGAGCTCACTTTTTCTCCTGTTCAGATGACTGTAACATTGCCTTCTTTGGACCATTGGTGCCTAAGGCACTATTTACAGTTGGTTTTCTGAACATTTTAAGTCAGTGTTTCTCAGGTAGCCCAAGCAAATGAGCTTTCTCTGTCAAAGAGTAAGTTGCCTCTAGTCCAAATAGAGAGCAAAGGTAGTATTTTCATCCCTGCCTTTGAAATGAATGTTTCTTAGTAATGGTTTCCATGATGAATTAATTTTGTGACCTGAGGGAAACACAGGTTCTGTTTCTTCTGAAATACTTCTCAAATATAAAATATAAAGGCAGGAACAATATAGGATTGGTAAGAATAGGAGAAGTAACCATATTTAGTAAAACAGAATTGAGCTGTGCAGATCAACACCTCTTTTGAGTGCATAATACATGAATTTTCTTGCTTTTATCTGTATGATCTAATTTAGTTATTTCTTAAGTGTCCTTTTGCTTTTTTATGGGTCTTTTGTTGTTATTAAATATTTTCTTTCTGGAAAATGTTGTCAACACAATGTCCCAAACATGGACTACTCAGTTATGTGTAGACCTTCAGAAAAGGCTGTCCCCTAAGCATTGCCTAAATGTTTAATGATATTTAGGTTCCCTCCCTGTCCATCAAAACAGAAATTGGGGTACATCAGCTTTGAATATATTGCCACTGGAGAAGGAAATATGAGTGGAGGTGAAGGTAGCACTGGTTTTAGAAAAAGGCAGCCACGGAAACACGAAAGAGGGGGAAAAAAGTTTTCTAGAACTGAAAGCAAGAAATTGATTTTTGAAAAAACAAGAAACCTGTCACCTAATAGACCTGAACTTTGGACCTCTGTGTAAATAACTAATGTTGTGAAACTAGTCCGTCAATGCATTCGCTTTGAGCAGGTGGTCTTTTTTGCATTTCACGAGGGAGTCCATCTAGCTAGGCTTTAAGCACACTGGGCTTGTTCCAGCAAAACACTTAAGTGTGTTGCATTTTAAACACATACATAGCCTTGTGCCACTTAATGTGTTGTGAGTTAAACTTGAACCAAAGTGCTTTGCTGGATGATTCCCAGAATTCTCAGCCCTGTATCTGGCTACAGCCCTCTATCCTGACTCTTTCCTTACAAAAAATGACTCATATAATCAAGAGTTAAACGGGGAGAGATCTGTATCGCTGCAGGAAGAAGGAAAGGGATGTTTGGAAACAAATAAAGTACAAAAGAAAGAAAAAAGTTATTTCACATTTACAGACTTAACTTTGCTTTGTTAAACTTAGTGGTATTTATATGTTCCTTAAATGATCCCAGAATGTCTGCTTCAAAAAGTCTGTCTGGTGGCATCTTTGCATATTTAGTAGTCATTTGCATGAAAAGGAAAGAAAAGTCATTTGTTAGGGTTGTGTTTCTGTTTTCATTTCTGTTTTCCCTTTTGGGAGCCCAAAGCTGGATGTGATTATTACTTGTATGGTCTATATCTCCATTGTCTTTAGGTCCCATCTTTCTATTGCTTATAAATTGCTGGCAGTTATTTCTCAGACTATAAATTTTCTTGATAAAGGTAACAGTGTTTAAGTGATACCATTTCTGGAAAATTTGAGTTGGTACCACTTGATGTTTGACTAAGAGTCAAGAACATAAAATAATAAAGTTAATTTTTTAGGTAAATTTAAAAAACAAATTACACAGACTAAAAATGAACTAATGAATAAACCTCAAAACATCATCACAAATGGGAAAACATTATTGAGTGACTGTATTATAATGGAGACCTATACGGCCTGGTGTTTAACTGTACTATTTAACAGCTTGCAAACAGAATGAACAACTGCAAAAATGCTGAATTATGGAGAGAGTAGGTCAGTGATGTAGGAGAGTTCAGCCATGTTGCTAAATAGTACGACTTTCATTGTCATGAAATATAGAGTCCATTGTATAAAGAGAAAGAGAATGTTATTCTTAAATATAGGCTATTTCTTCTAAGAAGAAGGTTTTTTCTAAAAATAACTGATTTTTCATGGTGGATAATCAACTCCTGATTTCCCAGACCAATTCTAGATAACAGACCCATGACAATCCAGAAATTAAAACCAGGAGAATATGGAACAGTAGAAAGTATATTATTTCTTTAGTTAGAAGTCGTGTCAGTATTACACAAATCCTGTGCCCATACTTCAAGCAGGACATTGAAAAATTTTATGGAAGACGTCAAGAAAATCAAGAAAAAATTTTTACGATCACTATTGCTATGCTAAAAAATTTCACTTGGAAAACCAGAAATAAAATTGGAGATAACATCAATGTTGATTAATGGGATAGCTATTATTTCTCTTCATCAGTTGGCCTGTTCACTCTTACATTCCATCATTGGCATAATAATATGAGGAACAGCTGCAAACTTTCACAGTAATAGGTACAATCGAATCTGATGTGTCTAATTAATTTTTGGTCCGACAAATTAGTTTTGTTCTTCATTACTCTCCAATGGGAGGAAGACATTATATTTCATTATGTTTTTGTCTTCAGGAACAATGGAGCGTTACAGGTCACACACTTCCCTTGTCTATGTTCTAATTAGTTGAACTGACAGCATTGTTACAGAAACACCTGCAGTATATGGAATAATACACTGGTACCTTGGATGACATATTTATTACTTCTGCTTACATATTATATAAATGCAAAATTAATGCCGTTTGTTTCCCCAAACCCCAACAATTATATTTTTATCAAACACCAGTGGATAACATTCATCTGTATCCATTTATTTTTCAGTCATCAGATTCACGGAGCATATGTTATTTTGACATTTAAATGAATGATTACTTTTGCAGTTGTAATTGCTAGGCACCAAAGGGTAAGAACAAACAGCCAGACTGCAAACTTTAGAAGGCAATTTGGAGACAGATTGCACCTTCCCCTAGAAGAAAGGGAGAGCGTGAAGTCCACTGAAAACTCTCCCCAGGCTCTCTGCAGTTTGCTCTCATATCCTTCATTCTCAAAAGACTGGTTTCTGACTTAGAAAAGAAAAGCTGATCTTCAGGCCTTTTGGAGGCTTTAGCAGGGAGCAGAGTTGTTCTTTTCTTGACTCCGGAAGTGTCCACACCCAAAGCCCATGTCTCTGAAGCGTGTCCTTGCCCACTCTTCTCCATGGCAGCATGGCTGCCTCTTAAGCAGCCCTGACATTACCTGTTCCCTCACTGTCCCGCTGCTTTTTACCTCTTCTCCAGAAGTCCCAGAAATTAACTAAAAGTTAATGGCAATTAGAGCAACAATCAACTCCCATGCTGATTTCTACTGCAAAATCAATTGTGTGCCTGGAAGAGCATGCTGTAGAGTGCCTCTTTCTATTAGTTTTACTCTCAGCACTTCCTCTTTCAGGACTGGGGTGCACCTGTGGATTGGCTCCATGGGCAGAAAAAAGGGGAAAATCCCATAAAGGAGCTACTGCTGCTTCCCTTCTTTTCCCTGTCACAGGTGCTCACTGAGTTTTATTCTCACTTTACTGCAGCAGGACAGGAAACCATCAGGCCTTTGGCAAAATAGGAAAGTATGGGAAAGGACAGCTGCAGCTACCAGGCCCCGAGTCTTGTAAAGCTTACCAGCATGGCCAGTATAGACTGGTACATGATACCAGCCAGTACTGGTGTACTGCCTTGATATACATTAGCCGGTGTACTCTGTCAGCATCCTTCTGTGGGACCTGTTTTGTTTGCGGGAAGCCTATTTTGTTTCTTGCACAGAACTACTGACAGCAAGCCAAGATCTAGCACAATTTCGGCAGTCTGTTTGCAAAAGTAGATGGTCATCGTTACTAAATATTGACATGGTGTTGAAAGAGAGAAAGCTTAATAAAATCACCGAGATCATTAACAGTGTGATAGCAATATAATGCAGTGCATCGCATTTCTTCCTGAGTAACTCAGCCCGGCTCTGAACACAACTTGGGGCTGCATCTTGGTGGGGGCAGCGCTGGGGCAGAGCTGCTCCACAGGCAGGGGGGCAGGTTGGGGCCAATGGGCCCTCTGGGAGTGATCCTCAGTCCCAGCGTGGCTGGTGTCAGCTCTGGGTCTCCTGCAAAGAGGTGTCGATGGAAATAAAACTGCAAGTGTCAGACTTCTCGCATCTGCTTTAGCCAGCGACCTTGTTTGTTTGCTTTAGGCTGAAGCCAGTGTGCTGACAGAGGGACTGTTCTGTTGCAAGAAGTGAGAGGTAAATTTAACCACTGCTGAATTATAGAAGAGGAATACATATGTTTTCAGAGCGAGGCATAATGCTACAATATTTTAAGAATTTCCTCTGAATGACCAGTGTTTTATTGACATATTCTACTACCTTGACGTTTGCGCAATAGTCTTTCATAATTGAGAATCATAGTATTTGCATCTTTTTTGTCTCAGTAGAGTAGCTACTATTGCAGCTCTTTCAGCATACATGCAGGCATCAGATAATACTGTATAAACATTTCAAGGATTGAGCTATATAAATGCTTTTACTGGAAATGATGGGTAATTCTTTCACCAGTTTCAAAACTCCAGATGTGGGCATCTTATATCAAATATACATATAATCAATATTCTTTTTTTTTGGTGGAAAATATGTTCCACATTTTCTAATTTTAAAACTAACCATTTTTGACACGGGAAGTTTTGAAGTAGAAAACTGCTGTCCCTAGAACTACATGCTTTAGCATTTCCTGAATTTCCATTGACATTTTCCATGAGCATTTGTTTTCAAGCCAGACACCAAGCTTTTCTTTTAGAAAAGTTCCCTTTTAGATAGAGGAAAAAAGCCAGTGGGAGTATCTACTGAAATTTACAGTTTTCTAATGTAATAAACACAATTTAAGATCTGATATAGAATATTTGATGCATCTCACTTAAATTGGTATTCCATGTCATAATTATTTCTTACAGGTTGATGTTAAGAATTGTTCATGCCTATTCTAGGTGAAAAAATTAGCAAGTGGCGATGGGATTCTTTAGAGCTTACTTACAGTTAACTATGTGATTTTCTGCTTTGTGTCAAAGCTGGTGCACTTAGGATTTGTATAGTTTGTTTTCTCCATGAAATAATTACCAAAAAATGTATCTTTGGCCCAGTTGAAAATATATCTATTTTATTTTTTATTTTACATTTGGAAACTAGCATGCAGCAAAAATGAATGAGTTAAGTATTTTTGGCATGCTGGCAACAATGAGAGAAGGAACTATCTTTTTGTGTTGTAGCATATTTTGTGTTTGGATTTCTCATTTGGAAAAAGCTATTTAATGGTCACTTTATTATATTTTTTTTATTGGTTTCCTGTGATCCATTTTGTTGTCATTGCATTCTGTCTATAATTATGTAAAAACAGACCAACAAACATACATATTGTTAAAAAAAAAAGGCTCTGGACTGTCATCTGTTAGATTACTTGGGAGAGTGCTATAGAGCTATCTTTTCAAATACATGTTTGCAGCATCGCAGAGAATTATGGATTTGCTTACTAGAAACATTGGTTTTCAGGTGTGCGTTTGTACTCATTAATGCTCTCCTAGTGTGGATAATTCTTTTGAGGTGCATTACTGATTTTATTTTTTAATTTTCATTTGCAGTACTTGGTTCCTGTTTGTATTACAGAATACATAATAACAATGTTCTGACAATTTTCTTTTGTGCAGGAGGTCGTAACGAAGTTGTCATCACTGAAAATAACAACAGCATAACTGAGCAAATCACTGATGTTGTCAAACAGCCTGCCTTTATAGCTGGCATCGGTGGTGCATGTTGGGTAATTCTGATGGGTTTCAGCATCTGGTTGTACTGGCGCAGAAAGAAGAGGAAGGGGCTCAGCAATTATGCTGGTAAGAACAGTAACTATTTATTACTATCTCATCAGGTTCTATCATGAAGTGAAGAGGTGCTGTTAAACCTCCTTAAAAAACATGTTGAACTTAGAGCAAAGGTGGTCTGGGTGAATTTTGTATGCTTGTTTTAAATGTATGCTGTGAAAATGCTGGTGTATGAGAAGCTTTAAATGCATTGCTTGGTACCACATTTCATCATTATCATAAGACAGTCTTTTTTTTTTACATCTTCAGTACATGTAGCATAAAAAAAAGTACAGAGGATTAACTGTACCTCTTGCTCCTTGCTCAGAAGGCACTCTGTTAGCAGTCCAGCTCCATTTATGTGCTCAAATATGAATTAGACTAGACCCTTACAGGAAAAATTTGGTCTTCTCCTTCTTCATTCCTATGCATTTCCATGTTTTTGAAGCCATGTGCCTGGGAAGTGAATGGAGGGACTTAATCAGTAACTCCATACCTATAGCTGGAGAAGAGAGTGATGTATTAGACAGAGAAGTGTTGTCAAAAGTTACCTATGGCAGAAGCCATAAAAAGTTTTGTCTTGAAGGTAGAACACCTTGGAATGCCCTCACAGTGTGATCCCTCTTGCACCAAATGTGTTGCTCCAGTTACAAATTAGGTTTTGAAAATTACATTTGGAAATATAAATACAACTGCCAAATGAAAGTTTTTGCTTCATCCCCCAACCTGTTTGTTTTGTGTATTGTTCTGTGCTTCAGGATTGTTGTGGGTTTTTAGGAAGTCAGGTGAATTACTATAAAGTGGGTCACTGAAGCCTAATTTATAACAAAAAAAAAGCTGTTCTTCAAATATTGGTGTTAATTCTCTTGTAGTGCTTGTTAACATCTAAAAGGAGAAAACATTTCCTTTCTGAGTAAAATTTGCACAGTTGAGGACACAACATATTTAATGTTGACATTATATCACACTAAAGTTACACTAGTACTCTTCTATTTACAAGTTACCGCATGTGAACCTGAGGACACAGTTCCCTAAGCAGCTGAGCATCTCTAACAACTTGCCAAAACCCAACATTCCCTGCTCACAGCCAGGCAGTCCTATGCCTCCTCACCTTGGTGTTAGCCATCAACCAGAAGGAAACTATTCTATGTTGGTTTTCAATCCTTCCTGCTGTATTAATTTTCCACTGGCTCAGTGAAGCAAGGCAGTCCAAGAAGAAATTAGACAAGCAGTGGAAGCAGAGGGATGAGAGACCCATTCTGTGACTCTTGGACTGACTCAGTTTCTGTGGAACCTCACCTTGAGTCACCATGTGACTTGTATTGTTCATAGGTTATGCTTTTTGCCAAGGTGGTTTTTTCTTTCCTTTAACAGCAATGACTTTTACTCTCTGAGAGTTGGGATGGTGTTAACTGAGAAACTAGTATATATCACACACACCTGTACATGTGTTTATATGAAATATCAGTCTAGATCCCAAGACTTTTTGTATTAAGAGACAGCTGTACTGTTATTCGTCTTAGGAAACAGTCCTATACATAAATTTTGGACACAAGCTAAGATTACTCTTTTTTTTTAAAGCAGAATTATTAGCCCTGTATGTGAGTTGGCATGTTGTGGGGAGGGAGATTGAGAGCAGTCTTTTATACCTTAAAATGCATAGCTCTAAATAATTATAATACTCATAGCTGTAAATAATTATAATACTCATTATAAACAGTGTGTCTCCTGCAATTCATTCCTTCTCATGATGTTTGCTGCATCTAAGTGTGATATGAACATTGCATTATAACACAGAATTCCCATCATCAGAATTATGAAATAGTGTATGCTTTCAGCAAGGAAAGTTTATAACAGATCATGCTTCAAAACTCATCCTAATGTTTACAGTTTGGAGAACAGCATGTCCACACGGAAAGTCTTCAAATGTGACTGTCAAAATTCACTGTTCACTTTTCCAACCATCATTATTCATTGGCTGCTGGCTGGTTAGTGCTTTAAGCTCCACTGTTATGTCCTGCTTATGATATTCAACCACAACAGAGTAAATTCCAGAGGAAACTCGTGCCCTGCAATTAGTGCTTATTATCAGGGTGTGTAACTCACAATGTGTTTGCTTTCTTGTTTTGCAGTTCAGTCCTTCACCTTCACCCCTGCAGGTACTGTCCATTAGTCTGTCTCTTACGTCACCTTACCAACACGTCATTGCAAACATTAGCTATTTAAGTGTTTACGAACATGTGAGAGATGCAGAATTAAAACCAAATGCAAGGAGAAATACTTCTGCTGCCTATCTGTGATAAAAATGTAACATTCATTCTCCTAGTGATTCTAGGGGAACGTAAAATCTACTACCATTAATGTCTCTGTCATTCTGCATACATCTTACTCATATAACTCCTCTAAGTAATGCAGTTTTGAAAGTTATTTTCAGGACAAGATGCTTGAACTAACTTAATGTAAACAAGCATTAGTTGTATATAACTGAATTTTGATTTTAAATCTCAAGAAAACTCTATCTCAAACATTTTTTAAGATCTAACTGAAGAAATGGAACTTTCCATTTCTTTAGCTGTTAGTTGCTGTATGTTGGCCTTACCATGAGGCATTAAGATCGTCAAGCAGTCTAGTGATTAACCTGTACATGCATTGCCTTTACAGTGGTTTTGAAATTGAAGCATTTACTGTTTTTCTGCCTACCCAGTTCAAAGCTGTTATGCTAGTTGTCATATCTTTAATAAACATAGTATACCATAGACCATCATCATAAGTGTGATTAAAGAAATGTGAAGAGTAAACGAAGTGTGGCTGAAACAGCAGGTTGCAAAAAACTTAGTCAACATATGGATATCCACAAAAAATAAAGTATACAATAATAGTAGTGATTAATACAAAAAATTAGCTTCTGCCCTCATAAACTCGAGATTCAAAAGTTTAAAAAGAGTTATACCTCAGTGTTATAAAGTAAAAGGCTGATAAATCTCAGTATTTTCTGTCAGAAGTCTGTAAAGATTTTTGCATGTAGCTTGGCTCCTCAGTTGCACGTGCCAAAGCTGTCTCCTCTTCTGTCCCCTCTGCCATCCATGTGATAGAGGCCAGTCTTCCTACTGTACTGCTGAACTGGTCCTCAGGCTCAGCTAGCTGCTTTCTTGCTCTTGCTTATCTTCAGCCACAGCTTGAGTGTTTAGCTTAGCAGGAAAGAACAGATGACTGTCGAGGCAGATGGGTGAAGGTGGTGATGTCTGCCCCAGGGGCCTGTGACATTATGAGGGAGAAGGGTCCTTGTGGAGAAGCTCTGGGGGGCTCAGGAATTGCTCCACTGGCTTCCGGGGAGTTTTTTTCAAGTTAGTGTAAGTTGTGGCACAACACATCCTACCCTAAACACTTTACTTGCTTTTCTTTGAGAAACAGCATAGAACTTTTTCCAGAATGAAATAATGCAGCTTTGCATTTGGTTTCTATGATTATTCCAATGTCAGCTGTCTGTAACTGTGGTGAGTCTTTCCTGTTGTCTTTGTGGCATACATTGGCATGACACAGGTTTGTGCTGGAGCCACAGTGACTGTGCATGATTCAGTGTACTTGTTCCACATGTGCTGGGCAGCTAGGGTATGTCAGACACATGGCCAAAAATTTGATTTTTTAAAAACAGTTTTGACATCTCATGGACTTTATAGAACTTTAACAGCCCATAGTTCTATTTCCTGGCCTATAATAATTTCTGAAAGGCACTGAGAACCTAAGTCATCCAGTAGTCAAGTCCCCCAAAAATATCATTAGTTTAGAAAAAAAAAAAGTTCTTGTGAAAGAACATAGTCTATGGTTTTTACCTTTATACCCAGAGTTCCCTAAGAAATATGTTAGTTCTCTTAATATTTGAATTTGCCATGGGTAATATCATTTAGACATATCTATGCTTGTGGGGAGGTTTGATGACACTCAAAACTCTATGTTGTTCCCTTCAAAGTTACAATTCATAAACAGTTTGGTTTCAGATTTAATATTTAGACAGTGGTATGTAGCTTTCAGAATCTCATCAGACACAGATGTCAATAAAGTTTTAGTAAAGATGAATTTGTCCTAATATACTTAGATTTTAGAAGGTGTACACTTTCAGACATTTGCTTAAAATTCTTCCCTTAGAATGTTGCACAACATGCAGATTTGACTGTGTAATAAAGAGAATTTAATGTATTTCAGACACAAAATGAAAAAAAAAAAAAAAAAAAAAGTTATTTCTGATATAAATGTTTTTTGCTTTATTTTTCTTCAGTTGTATTTGCATGTGTAGAACTTAAAGCACAAAAAATAGTTGTTTAGAAGTCTGGATTCTGCAGTTATGTAATTACTTGCTAAAAATGGTCTTTTGGGTCATTTTCAGATTATGGGTCATTCACTGGCAGTATTTGTAATTTCTATTCTGTCATTAGGCTTCTAAGAGCTATAATTTCTGCCGTGTGACTAAACTACTGTAACACTCTGTGTAGGAGAAGAGTAAACAGCAAATATCACACGGTAAAGATCTGTGCCAGAGAAGAATAACTGATTGAGTTAAATTCATTAAACTTTCTGCCTTTGTGAACATGTTCATAAGCACTGATCAGTTGCTCAGATTGTCATAAATAAGGTGACACTGAAAATCATAGATAAATCTTTTTACTATTTTCAGTTGAACTGACTCCAGTAGTTACTGAGCCACAATTCTGCACATCACTATTCCTCCACTTCCCTTTCCCCCATCATGACTCACTAGGCATTGATTCTCGGTAATATCAGTATTACAAAACATGATTTTTCAACTATGTTTGTTAGATTACTACTGTTAAGTAGTAGTGTCATCATCTGCAGCTGTATAAAAACTATACATTTTTGGTACCATGATATACAATCATAAAAACCAAATCTAGCACAGAGACACTAAATCCAAAAGTTACCCCTTTTCAGACATCTGTTCTGTGACACGAAGGATGGATTGGTCTTACTTTCGTGAGTTTCTGTACAGCTGCACTGGGGATTTTGTGTTTTTAAGATTACCCTTTACTCAGATTGCCTAGATATAAACACGCACCATGGGTTTCTACTTGATAGATATAGAAAAGATAGATTGCACAAAAGAGATATCTGACCACTTGTCGTTTAGTAGATGATTTTTTTTCATTCCCATATTACAGTGAAAGAACAGAATTTGTTGATTTTGTACTGGAAGTTGCAATTCTCTTTTCACATTTTGCTATAAGGACATACAAAAAAGGCATGGAATCCATTTGAAGAAATAAGAGAAATTTCACTTAATCTGCTTATCTTTCCTGTGCCCTCAAAGTCAGTGTTGTGCCAGTACCCACTCCCTTGAATACTCAGGTGTTTTCAAGTGTTTCAACCATCAGTCATGCAAAGAAAGTTTAATATGTTTTTTCACTTATAAGTAAGCTTATTTAGTGACTAGTGCTCCTTGGGATTTCATGAAACTGAGTAAACAAAACCAAATTTAAAATAGAGAATTATGGAATGCTACATATTTTATGCACAACTCTTGAAACTGTTAAATGAGGATAAATTATTTGACAGAATCATCCAAAGGTAGACAGAAGATTTGATGGAATTTTTATATGCTGATTATCTGTTCTGAGTTAATGCTTATTAAAAGAGGATTAATCTACATTCATATTTGAGGAACAGCTTATCAGAAAAAGGAATGAGACTTGGCTGGGAGCATTAAAGTTTTCATTTGTGGTAGGAAAATGTGGCCTACTAGAGATAGGCGTACAGAAAGCTTTCTAAAGCTTTCTAAAGCTTTCTTGCCTCAGAATGTCAGCTCGCTATACATTTGTATTTTTCCAGTTCTAGCAGGCATGAAGATTAAGTTTAACCTTGTCAGATAATATTAGTAAATGGTTTGGGTACCTCCTTGTATATTTAATAAAAAAATGTGTGAAAAGCTCCTTAACGTATGCTGTTCTTCATACAAATATATACAATATAATTTCCTTAAATATTATGCATTTAAAATGCATTTTGGATTATATTTCTGCATCTTTACAGTCCTTGAAGTATAAGCTGGTGGGGATTCCTTCAAAATCTTTCTATGCAGAGGTTATTTTTTTTATCTTCTTTTGAAAACCAATCTCATCCCTGCAGGTCTTCAGCCTTTCTAAGAACATATATCAGATGCAAAGAGTGCTGAAAGAGCTTTTTTGCTTCCTTGGTGATAAAAAGCAAGGGAGATGGGTGGGTCAGTGATAGGGACATCCTTCCCTTCCTCCTCTTACATTGCCCCTTGAAATTACTCTGCTTCTTTTTGAAGTGGAGACAGGATGAATAAAGCCAGCTGTCTGTGTGTTTTATTTTTACAGTGACATCTACAAGCCTGCATTGCATTAAGTATGCTCCTATTCAGACATTTAGACTTGTTTTGTAATTGCAGAAATCAAACTGCAGGCAAAAATACTGACAAAATGTACAGCAGGAATGATAAACATAGTGCTTGTGTTTGTAGCCTGACCATATCTTCTGTTGTTAGCTGTCTTTCTTTTCACAATATTGATGTTAAAAGAAAGGCACCTTCTCTGTCCAGCCTCGGGTAGGCCATTTATGGATGACATCAAGAATATGATTTTTTTTCTGTAAAATCCTGATGATGTCTGCATACTTCAGGAGGAATTTTAGCTAGCTAAGTTGATATTCTGGGGTCTTTTCCACACAGAATAGTAACTAAAATACTTTCTTGTTCATTTTCTCATTAAGATTATAACCATCCATTCATTGGTATACAGCATGGAGGGTAAATGGAAGAACCTATATTCCTTCTCAGTTCCATACACATCGCATAAGCCAGGCACAGTCTTCCTCAGCAAAAGCAATGTCACTGAAAGACAAGTTCTTTTTTTGATGAACTAAGCTGAACCTTTCTTCTAAGACCAGTGTTTATACTGGGAGGGTACAAGATTAATTAATGTAGGAAAAAAAAACAGGAAACAGTTAATGCCAGCAGGATACACAAATAGAATAATAAAAAGAGTAAATGCTTTGATACCTGTCTCTTCTCAACAAGCTCATATGCCACAGCCAATCTGCAGCAATTATGGCTCTAGCGAAGAGGTTTTGATAGCATGTTTTCTTGATATGTTTCTCACAGCATGCCTTGGAGTTTTTTCCGTACATCATTACATGGAAAATAAAATGTCTCTGGCAAACATTGCTGCAATCTCCTACTAACCCTCCCATTTTAGCTTTGTTTTATAAAGGTACACAGGGGATATAAATATTTCAAAGACCACAAGTATTGTTTGGAGTTTTTTCCATATGAGATGCATAGTTAAAATCTCACATACCTGTATGTGCGATACAAGTGCTGAGAATATTACTTTACAATTATTTCTGGTAGATAATAGTCTAAAGAAGAGCATTAATCCCAAGAAGTTTTTAGAAAATATCTTTTACTGGAATTCCCTTAAATCTGTACTTTATTCATAAGGGTTGTTACTGAATGTGCCTCTGTTTCTCATTTTCCTTTTTACTTGTTTCTTTAACAAATGTTGGAGAAACAGAGTATTAAATTAGAAGGGGAGGAGGAGAAAGAAAAGAGCATCTAATGTACTTTTCACCAACATACTTTGAAACGTAACTGGGCAGTAGCCATCTTTTTGCATATTCACACATGATATCCACAGCACTTCAGATTATTCACTCTGAAACAAAGAGTGATACAGTCATTTGACAGAATGACAGAATCACAGTGTTAGAAACAACGTGAATGAAAGTAACATCGACTCTGAAATTAATTAGCTGCAATGTTTTACCTTGTCTTGTTTTTCAAAGTGACTTTTATTTAATACTTCCCATACTTGCATTTTGATTTTCTTTTCATTAATTGGTTTGATTACATCCTTTCAAAATTCAGCTATTAACCATTTTGATGTGACATATGACTGCAGTGATTTTCTGATATTGATATTAGGCTGTTCTGCAGTGAAGGGTAATTAATCACCCTACCCAAGCACTCTTCCAGTAGGGCTTCAGAGTGGCCAGTTTTGTCCCCTTTGCTGAATGTAGACTGTGAAATTATCCTAACACTTAATAAAGCGACAAAGATTCTATAAGGTTTCGGAAGTATTTTCCTGGTGGATTTATGTCATCGCTAATTTTTTTAATGATTACAGAATTGCTGTTTGGTGTAGTAATGTCTGATCGGAATGTATTATAATAGAAAGCCTAGTGTAGTTTGGACTAATATTTGGAAAATCTTGCAAATACTCCAGGAGCTATAATTTAATGATGAGAAGGTCTGTCTTTCTTACAAAGGTAAATAGTATTTCTCAACCAAGGCCTATTTTAAATTACACTGGCCACAGACTCTTCCATTCCTCTCTGAAATTCAAATCCTCATCTTGTCAGGGGCCTGAAGGGATGCAGGTGTCCAGGACATGGATATAATTTAATAGTCTGCCTTATCTATGCCTGACAATAAATAATGGGGTATTGCCACTGAGAACCAGAGTAGTCTGTTGGCCTTGATTCAAAATATTTGCCAGTGCTTCAAAAAGGAGCATCAAATGTTGTCAGTTAGCATCTCACCAGTAATGTGAGTTTACCTATATTGCCCTGACATGTAATCCTGTTAATAAGATAGATAAGGGATAGGCTGTTTTTTGTCAAACACCCATGAATGGAACCATAAAAACAATTGCCTCCCTCTGAATATGTCCTTGGCATCCTCTATGGAAACACTGGAAGCCCTTTTTCTTCCCAGTGATACTGGCATGTATGCATTTATGTGTGGGTGCTAGTTCTCGTACTTCTAATGGAAACAGTGCAGCTGTATGCTTTTTTTCACCCCCTCAGCTCTAACAGAGCTGCCACCTCTTTGTATTTGTCCTGGGAAATGGCATATTTGTGTGGTGACATTATATTGCTGCATTACGACATGATGTTATTAACTCACTGGTGCAATGTCATTATGTACTGAAGCAAAAGCATGCCAAGAAAACAATTTCATCACATGGCTCAGTCTTGCAATGCAAAGTCATATGAAGGGGCCTGTGGTAAATTCAGGCCTTTTGCCCAGGCGGCTGGTTTGCCTTGCAAGCTACAGAGCAAACTGATGTTAATCAATAATATGCAGTGAAATTCTAAACAAATTGTAAGCCTAATGTGTTTGATCCTTTTCTTATAATTTCTGTACTTTGTTATGTGGTGATGCCAAGAGGCCTCCGGTCTTGGACACTGAACAGTTTGAATTGTTACTTTTAATTATTACTAATTGATTTTTCCCTGTCTTATATGTGTGTGCGTGTGTGTGTGTACGTTTGTTTGTTTTGTTTTTCCAACCAAAACACAGTCACTTTCCAAAGAGGAGATGGAGGACTAATGAGCAATGGAAGGTATGTTTCCTTGTATAAAGGTCTTTCCATCCATATGTATTTTTAAAATTAGTGATCTGAAAAATGCTGCAGGTAATACACTTGGGTAATAACCAATCATTGGGAAGACTGGCAACACTAGGAGGAGTTAAGCGGCTTGCCACAAGGTTTAATGACCTATCTGTTGTGCACTTTGGAGGAATCAAGCCCAGATGTTTCATATCTCCCAGATGCCCTGGAAGAAATGAGTAGTAAATATCACAAGGAATGTGTTCATTTGTTACCGGGATGTTTATTGCATTAATTAGACATTAGCAAATGAAGTTGCTGTTGTTTAAGACTCCTTATTGGCTCCCCCTAAATTGCTGTGAGTGAACAATTACACTTAATCGATCATGAAATAAATGATTCATAGATGATGAATAGGCTGTAGATTGATAGGACTAGATTCCACAACTTTGGCTACTCAATTGAAATTGATAAAAGCTGATAACGGGCCCATATATCCTCATCTATTTTCCCTTTGCCAATATGGAGATTGTAATTAGGCTCTGGTAATAACTTCCAATCTCCCGTTTAATCAATATTTTAGCAAAAAGAGATTAGGCCTAATGAGAGTGAGTAGATGTGGCAAGAAAGCGGCAGGGTCTTCTTATTGCCGTTTCCATAGAAACCGATGTTTCTCTTAGGGATTGTACCAGGCAGGGGTCTATAACATGCAATGATTGGAGATGTTGCTCCAACTTCATGACTACATTAATAACCTAGAAAAGCTATAGAACCATAGATGGTTTTTTGTTTTCATTTGAGGGAAGGGAAGTGTCTGCAGGAAATGTTTTGTTTTCCCTGTTAAATACAAGTACAAACAGTCCGACTGCCTTGCTAAACTTCTGGCTATTTTCTCTGGGATGAGAGACACTGTGCCTCATGGCCTGAGTGTACCTTCTCTTTCAACATACCCATCATTTAATACTGCTCTCAAAGCTGGGAATTACAGGGATATAAAAGCCATGCGGTAGTGACACATAAAGATAGCTGTGGACTTTTCATTAATCCTACTCAAACCTGTTTGCCTCTAAACCATCCAAGAGTGCTCAAAGAAAGAGTTACCAGCCTGTAGATGACAGGCGTGTATTTGAGATTCAAGGGAAGGAAGAAATAGTAGCCCAAAGTCCTGGAAATGGCTGATATGGAGCAGTCAGTTTGAGTGATGGCTCCCTTGAGGTGGTAATTTATCATGCAGCCCTGGTGTAGGATCCCATGATGGTGCTGCCTAACCCCTGTTTCACACAGACAACGGAGTTCATTTAGATTCTGGCAGAATCACGACGGATGCCTAGTCCCACTTCTACTGACAGAGTTGATTTGTATATAACCTTAATTAACTGCTCAAGGTCTTTAAATCATCAAAGGCTACACAATTTTAATTTGAAATAAATTAAAGTCCTCCAAACTGTTTGTTACCTATGGTGTTAGAACAGTGATGTGGTCTCTTCAACCACCAGTTGTCTCACAGATATTTTAATTTTGTAAATACATATATATATATATATATGTATGTATATCTTTTTTTCTTATTCTGCTTCAGTCGACCAGGTCTGTTGAATGCAAGTGACCCCAGTTATCCTTGGCTTGCAGACTCTTGGCCTGCCACAAGTCTGCCGGTAAACAACAGCACTAGCGGACCAAATGATCTTGGAAATTTCGGTCGTGCAGGTAGGTTTCATTTGATTAAGTCACTGTACAGTATACAATAGGCTTCTGTTGTTATCACATTCATCTATGATAAACATTGTGTAGTATTTTTATTATTATAGTTCTTCCTACGTTTGACTCAAGATTTATTTAAAATTGACTTTAATATGTTCATTTTGGTTTTTCTCTTCTTAAAATGTAGGTCTAGTTTGTAATTTGCCCCACAGTCATGAGACAGGGTCTTCTTATCATCTCAGGAGAAATGTATTTGTTGCTCAAACTCATTCTTTTTTGTGTGATGAGCAATCTGCTGTGCAGGGCAATGTAGCCAGAGATAGAGGATGTCCATAAGAGCAGAGAAGAACTTCAGGGATGCAGGAGGGATGTTCCTTCAGCAGAAGGAGGACTAAAGAACATTGTTGCTGTCATCTTACTCATCCCCTCCCTGCTGAGGGACTGCTCTCAGTCCAACCATAATCCATGAAGATGATTTCTTATTTTATTTCTTTTGAATTTTCTTTTGAAATTTATTTATTTCTTATTGAAAGAAAGAATACATAAAAGGGAACCATTTAGATTTTTTAGGGGTTTATTTCCATTTTGAACTGAGGGAGGCCCTTTGGGGAAATGAGGTAATGATTTATAATTATGGTGATGAAGCTTTAGAGGGGTTATTTTCTTCCAAACATTTTAGTCAAATGAGAATTTCAAGATGTATGTTTGGGATTTTTAAAAGTCATAGTACTATTCACATCCATCTGTTACTTCCTTGGTTTCTGTGATATTATAACACAGCTAGTTCTGCATAGTGGTGTTCAGAATAGGACTTCTAACATAAATGAGTATATAAATAGTTTTAAGACATAAATACGTAAAAAACAATTAAGACGACTTTATATATATCAAAAATACATTAAAATAAAAAAAAAATCTATAAAACCATCAAACTGATAAATGTGAAAATAATTTAGTTTTGAACTGTACCAGAATTTGATTCTGAAAACCATCCCCCACATCAGTTATATGTTCCTGTGCAAAACTTCTTGCCTGTGGTTTGACTACTGTGATTTCAAATTAGAACAAAACATTCTAGATTTATTTTCCATATAAAAATGTTGCAAAGATCTTGTCTTACAAAAATATTATAAAGTAAGCAAAGCTTTTTATAATATTTAGAAGGCAACTGAACATCTGCCAGCTTCTTTGTTGTAAATATCGTGAAAATAAAATCCTTCAGTGCTTTTCCATCTTTTCATAAGCTCAGATAATGCAGAAAAATTACCATTTTGTTTTAGCATTTGGCTCTATACGACTGAAATTGGAAGCATGTTTTAAAGCTTTTGGCTTCAATGTGTATGAGGCATAGGTCCAAATTTGTCCAAGAAATGCAACAGTTATATTTTGAGATTCAGCAACTTAATTCCACCCATGATCTTTACAGTTGAGCTCACAACTTTATTCTGGCTGGTTTGGGACCACTTAACCCTGTCTGTTTCAGCAGTTGAGTTTGAGTGCTTCTGCACTAAAGATGGGTTAGAAGTCAGATGTCTTTCACCATTAATTAACTGTATAGATGGAACTTGGGCCTCTTTTACTGGTTAAAAGGTCTGTGGTAATATAAAAAGGTCTGTAAGAATTTTGAAAAGAGTAAGGTGGCAACCAACCACTTTGGAAATTCAGAAACTGAGGCACGCAGTTCTAACACTGCCTTTAAGAGTGATATCCAATTATGTCCTAGATAGGCATTTGGGAGCAAGGCTGTGCGTGGGAAGCACAGGTTAGGTTTGGAGTCACGTAAAGCCAGAAAATGATACTGCATCTCCTCAGGCAGAAAAAAAGAGCTTCCCCCAGGAAGTATTGCAGCACTGTTTTGGAAAACAAGTTGGATTTTGGAGTTTTGGGGAAAGTCTCCAGTGGGAAATGTGTGTTCATCTTTGGTCTGAAATGTACAGTGTGGGTTTTTCACTATGACAAGTTGGTGGGAAAGTCACATTCGATTTTTACTAGATGATTATATTACTTTGTAAAATCACACTTTAATAGCTGTTTGAGTGTTTAGTGTGTACATTTCATGGAGGTCAAAAAAGTAATCTGTAGTTGTACTGAAGATTCCCAGAACGTCTGGAGAAACTCAGCTTATTAGTAAGAATGACCAAAAATTCTTAGCTGCTAGGAAGCTATGCAGCTTTCCTTTTGAGTGTTTAGTTCTCCATTCTAAAATGACTGTGTATAGATGATACCTCTTCAGTTGCCAGAAATGTGCTCTGAAAGATAGATGTATGTCTGAGTACTTGAGAGAAGAGCATTTTGCTAGCTTTTACTTCTGTGAGTCTTCAAATCCAACACAGACAGGTTGAGATGGACTTACTTCATTTTATACATCTTCAACAGAATTTATTTACTAAACTTCAGTCCATTATACTTTGATGCAACCAGTTGTGGAAAGGAAAAATCTTTATATAGTGGATGAAATGCAAGAAAGATGGGAAAATGCAAGAAAGATGTTTGTCTCTCACATCTCATGCTGTATGTGTACATAGATGCTTTTATGATTGTGTACTGCCTCTAGAAAGCACATTGATATATGCAGATAGATAGAAATAACCTGATTTTGAAACATGACCTGTAGTTTGCATTAATTGTAATCTTTTTTTTTTTACTTACAATTTATCTGCAGATATAAGTTAATACAATTAAGGCATTTTAAATACTTAATTGCACCCATTTCCCTGTTATTGTTGTCTGCAAAAACAGACCATAGTGATAGACCCAAATTTAATCTGTTTCTGCAGTCTTTCTACTGAGCACTTGTTATTATGTATTTATTTTTAATATGACATTGTTGCCCTGAGACTGCAGATGTTATCAGGGTCCATATTAAAATGTTCACTGTTGCACACATGAATGCAGTAGAAAATAGTTCTGTGGTCTAAATGTTCATCCCAGGGAAAAAAAATACAAGCAAAAACCAAAACAGTGGGAGGAGGCCATGGTATCATATTGCTGAAAAAGTCTTGAGATAGTGAGAGAACAACTGTATTACCTGAGGTCGCACAAAACCCATGTCTGAGTCTGGAACTGTGCCTAAACCCTTGTCTAGGTGCAAAAATAATCTTTTCTCTCTGGGACTTAAGGTATATTAAAATGTCTGTGATATTGAGGATGGGATCCAAACATCCTCACTATAGGAGCATGCATTGTCTCAAATACAATTGAACAATTGAAATCCATATCTACTATCTGGCTATGTAAAGCAAATGTCATATAAATGATGTATTTTAATAACAAATAAATTTCAGGATGGACTTAACTTTTCAATTTTATTCAACTGTTCAACTTTATTCAAACTGAATAAATGGTAAAAATAGTACCATTTGATATCTTGACCTCTGAAAGAGCAGGAAGAGGGTTATCTGCCGAGCTGTGGTTCTCCTTGGGACAACATGCCAGTCATCATTAGATTCTTCACACTTCAGTAGTCTCAGCTTCTAAATCTAGTATTCCACCAGCAAAGGTCACTACAATGTTTAGTAAGGAGAGAGATTGCCAATCTAACCGATTAAAGCTACAAATTGCAGTGTGATAGAATTCAAAAGATGTAGAAAAGTCAACAGATATTTAGTTAAATATGCTGTACTGTTTTTCAGGTAACATACTGGAGTATTTGAACAAGCTGTTCTCCATTATCAACACTGCTTTGCCGTTTTAAGAGACTGATCACATACATCCCTTCAGAATAACAGATTTTCTTTCACATATCTGGAACAACTTGTTTTTGTCAGGTTTTTCTTTTGTTGAAAAGGACAAATGTACTAGCTAATGTCAAAAAGAAAATTAGATAAGCTGATGCATAAAACTTCAAGGAACTCAAGGTGATGCCCTTAAAAAACTACTTTGAGAGCTTTGGCATCCATTTAAGAGTTTTGCTACATATTTGCTGGGAAAGTTTCCTCTGTGATTTGTACATTCACTCCTTTCATCATTTCCCTGAAGCCCAGACAGTTTCATCGGTTCTGACATAGAGTGAACAATTGAAAACATTCTTCAGTAGAGAAATATTCCAAACTTCACTTTCACAGTTGAAGGTATGGAAAAAAAAAAAAAAAAAAAGATGGTTTTAGGCAGTGAGACGTGAAGGACAAGTGGTAGACCTGTCACAGATGCTGATAGCTTGGCGATGGTTGTACATCATCTTCCCTTCATTGGCTCATGGACCTGTCTCAGCTGAAATGCAAACGTGCAAAATGACACATTTATTTTTCATCTTAAACCTTGATACTTTCAGGCTTCCTGTGCATCAATGATTTGTTTCATTCCCCTATGTTCACCACAGATGTGCTGCCACCAGTGCCAGGGCAAGGGGATAAAACTGCTACTATGCTTTCTGATGGAGCCATTTACAGCAGCATTGACTTCACCACGAAAACTAGTTACAACAGTTCCAGCCAAATAACACAAGCTACGCCATATGCCACCACCCAGATTCTGCATTCCAACAGCATCCATGAGCTGGCTGTCGACTTACCTGATCCTCAGTGGAAAAGCTCAATTCAGCAAAAAAATGACCTGATGGGATTCGGTTACTCTCTCCCAGACCAAGGCAAAGGCAACAATGGTAATTACAGCTCTTATTTTCCAGAGACCTTGACTTTATACTGTATCATCTATGCATGAATTAGAAAAATCTTTTTAGTATGTGAGACACTGTTTATATTTGCCATAACTAATGCTTGCATACCTTGCATGAGTGCTGAACCTCAGACAATCACAAAATATATTGTTCTGTTCTTTTAATCCTCTTTGTCCTGTGCTAATCACCAATCCATCTGCCTTCCATTAGGCTAGGATAGGTATACATTAAAAATAAAATAAATGAAAACTTGCTGCCCCACCACATCTGCCATTGACTTGCTAATTGCATGTGTTGCATGTGCTTGTGCTGTTAACTAATCACTTTGCCACTGTGACCTTTGCCCTTTAACCCTTAGCCTTGCTTTACATCCCTGACTACCGCGTGGCTGAGGGATTGGCTAATAGATTGCCACACAACCAGTCACAGGATTTCAGCACCACCAGCTCCCACAACAGCTCCGAAAGGAGTGGCAGCCTCTCAGGTTGGTTCCACCGCCGTGGGTGGGGGAGGGACGGAGGGGTGATGGTGAGCAGCTCACCAGGGAGGCGGAAAACCTCTAGGTGCACTTTGCAGATAGGTATGAAGGTGCCTGCCCACTGGAATGTCAGCAAACAGCATCACATTGGCCTCTATTAAAAAAAAAAAAATGCCTTTTGCAAAACGTATTTAGAGATAATTAGAGAATCCTCCCAACCAGTGCTTGTTGGCACAATCGCAAACCTTACCTTGTCACATCCTTTCTCTGACAGCACAGTTCATGGAACAAGCATCAATCCTCAGTTTATAGGTCTCCCCACACTGAAATTCATGAGATTATTATTTTTGTTGAGTTGTTAACAGATCCCCCACTCCCACAAGCTGGTTCTAAATGCTGCTTTTCAGTGAAGCAGCTCACTTGTATTTCAAATTCATACTATATCCAAAGTCTTTTGAATTTACACAGTAAGTTGGATAGTAACAGTAACAGATCAGGCCTAGAAAAGGCTTCTTTATGTCAGTTTAAATAATTATTCAAATTGAATATTGAAATTAGAAACCTATAATCATTGGCCCATAACTGAAACAAATGTGTTTGAAAGTATTGTGTTTTCATGGGAAGTATTAGCTGATTTGAGTGAGATCGAAAAACAGGCTTATGACATTGACAGAGAGGTATCTGGGAACTAAGTTCATACAATGCTTCAAGAAAAGTTCTTGTTCCCTTTATGTGACATGTATTGGCAAATAGTTTAGGAAACTGGCTTGCTCCTCTGGCTGAATGAAAATGCAGAAATTGATATGCTGTGGTACATATGTGCTGGTTATCAGAGGGCAGTATCACACTTTAGATGTGTTGACAGCTACAGTTGCCTGAAAATTTTCTCAGAAAATGCAAAGTTTCACTGGAAAATGCCAGTTGATCAAAAGCTGGACTTTGAACAAATATTTCAAGTGAAACGTATTTTGTGTAGTGTTTCTCAGTTTGAAGTAAATTTTCTGACAGCACATGGAAACTTCAGGTTAGCCAGTCTTCTATGGCCAGGGCACTCCTGTTGTGATCAAAGCAGCTCACACCTGGATGCCCCAGTTCTCAGATGAGTGTCAGACTATTGGACTGCATAGTCAGTATTTTGCTCTCCCTTGCCCACTAATTATGTCTTTAATACAGGCTAATTATATCTATAATACATGAGAAACTGGGGGAGACCTTCAAGTAGTCCAATAATTAGAGCATCACTGGAGTCAGAGACCAGCTTTGATTGTGTAATCCCCATAAGGGTGAGCAGGGACTTGTTCTCTCACTTTCTTGGTTAGTACTTTAAGTACTACTTATTATTCTGACTAAGTTTCTGTCTCTCTCAAATGAATATCGTAAGAAATCCTATCTCACTGTGGAATGGAAAACTGCTAAAAACTCAGCTGCTTTGTGAGGCAGGGAAATTTTGTGACTGTACTTTGCACAGCTCCCAGCCTATGTCAGTGCTATGATCTTCATCAGCCTGACTGGCAAATTCTTTTTCCAGGACCTGATTCAACTAGAGATTTAAACAACATAATTGAATTCCAGTGTGAGGAGACATTGAAACATCAAGCAACATTGCTATGGGGAAACAAGGCTTCGGTGCAACAGTTTTCAAACACACATCAGGCATTATGTATTAGGTGTCTGTTCTACTAGTCAGACAGTGGAGTAATTCTGCCCATGGGGACAGAGAAATCTCCTGCCCAACTGTACGATGTAGGCTGCTTTCCTTACCAGTAATGACCTTGGAATTCCTTTCTTTTATTTCTTCATCTGAACAGTTCTTCAGCTCTCTGCTTCACTCTAATAGTTCTGTTGTCCTTGACCTTTCTCTCCAAACCTCTCCAAATACACACACACACACACACACACACAGAGTCTCTCATGCATGTGCTTTCCTCCCAAAGCAGCCTGCCCTTCCTTAGCTTTTTTTGGCTCCTACTGACTTTTCAAAAATTCCTTCATGTCTACAAGTTACAATTAATGTACTTCCTTTGCACTGTTCTGTGACCCTATTTCTAACTCCTCTTTCTGCCATACCTGTGCTTTGAAAGATTAATTTTCCCTCCAGAAGGTTCATGTAATTGTTCTTCCATTGCCACCATCACTGGGGTTTCTTTTCTGTTGATCAAAATGTTCTTTCCCTTTTCAAGAAAACTTCCCTCTCTGCCAGGCTACAAAATGGGGGAAGAGCCTGTCTTGCATACTATTAGATGGGATATCAGTTCAGTTTGAACAGAGTGAATTACAGGATCTGGTCTGGAATTGAGTAGTGGAAAGCAAAGTCTTCTTTGCAATATGTTGCCGGCCAGGATGATTAGAAACCTTGCTGGACCTGTTGCCTGTCTCTAGCCACTGCAACAGGAGATGAAAAGAGAATCACAGAATCACCTTTTTATTCCTTCTCTTCACCTTTTTATTCCTTCCGTATTCGTTCCTGTTTTGGTCTAACTGATGTTCAGAGCTAACAGAACAAAGCCACTGTCTCTCAGATGAAAAGTCCTGTGACACGTGCTTGTCTCTATTGCTAGAATTGCACCTCCTTCTTGATGTCTCGATGCCTAAAACTAGAGCCATGGCAAAGAGGGTGGTGCCTGCCAGTGCACACTGTGCCACCCTGCCTGAAAAGTCTGTTGTGGCTTTTTTGATTCATTGCTGTTGAGAACTTTTTACATCGGTTTTTTTTGGCTGATTCTTATAAATCAGCAAGAGATGTCAGTGGAAAAGATGAATTAGACTGTGCTTTCTGCAACAGGCAAGGGATGAGTGACTGCCAGCAGGGTACCCTACTGAAAAAACATATGACAAACCATTCTTACACCCAAAAATCCAGAGGCTTTGAAATCCACAACAAAATGTAATAAATAGATGGGTGTCCAAGAAGACAAAGGATTCAAATTCTTGTGCCATTATTTCTTTTGATAAATTCCTGACCAAAAAAAAAAAAAAAAAAAGAAAAAAAAAAAAGGAGTCAGGACAAAAATAAAAGAAATTAAACAAGTGGGATGAGAGCTTTCTCTGTAAGACTGCTTTCCCACAAGTGGAAGTGTCTCAACTGGAGAAGTGGGTGCAAAGACAATAATAGAGGAGAAGAGGGCTTAAGCAAAATGTATTGCTCACTTCATTTCTACCAGCCTCCTCCATTAGAGTTGTACATCAGAAATAGAACCTCTTCTCCGTAGGGGCACAAGTATTTCAATCCTGTGAAACACAGAGTCCTAAAGCATTGCAGGTGACTTCCTGATGTTTTAAAAAATGAAACTTAGTAAATTCCTATCAGCAAAACCCTGTTTCTTTTTGTTTTGACAATTTACAGTTGTCATTCTGTCTGAAAGATATTGAGTCTAATGACAATTTTTTTAGATTGTGTCCTTAACCTCTGTGTTTTCCACAGAAAAAGATTATGCAAACCAGTGTTATAAGCACACTGGATTCTAACATTTGCTATAGTCTATTATACTTATCTAACAGTGAATTCAAGATGTCATAAAGCAGACATGAATAAATCAGTATGTGTATTTCTGATACAGCAAAACATGTCTTTCCTTGGTTGTCTACTACTGTGGTGCAAATGTATGGAGTTTTAAAAAGAACTTATTTTCAACTTATTTTCAATTATTCAAAATATTTTTCTGTTCCATTCTATTATTATTTATAACCTTGTAACAGCATTACCACATTGATGCTGATTCTGCAGGGACATAAATACATCTTCTTTTTTGGGACATGCCATCTGGAATCAGAATTCTTTCAAAGAAACGTAAATAGCTAGCTTTTTTTTTTTTCCCCACATTATATCGCTAACATTTCATTTTTCTTTTTGGATTTCCAGGTGGCAAAGGAGGGAAAAAGAAGAAAAACAAAAATACTGCCAAGCCCCAGAAAAATAATGGGTCAAACTGGGCTAGTGTTCCCCTCCCACCCCCTCCTGTGCAGCCTCTTCCAGGAACAGAGCTGGAACACTATGGGGTGGATCAGCAAGAAGCAGGGTAATTTTTTTTTTTTTTTCTTTTGAAGAAAAATCTGTAGTTTATAGATATGAGGCATTTAAAATTTTTTTTTTTACTAAGTGGCAATATTATTCCTTTTTTTTTTTTTTAAAAAAAAAAAAAAGAGCATAACATTGTATAGTCAGGGCTGTGGAGGAAAAATGTTTGAATAGCTTCTCTTGATGGTGACTGAAGATGGAAATAAAAGTGACCTTGTTTCGTCATCATGTAGGGCTTCTCTGCTTACTCATGCTGGGAAGTGTCTTGCTTCGCATGTAGCTTAATTGAATTCTTTTGGGACTGCTTGCAGATGATTGTGGAGTGAGTAAGGATGACATAATCTGGCTTCTTGTATTTTTTCACTGCTTTGATGTTTAAAAATATTAGAGCCAAAAGAACAAAATACTCCACACTAAATCGGATTAATTTTAGAAGATCAACCAGTGGATAATAATCTTCTTATTGGCTTTTAGAAGAAATTTCACAGTTGAGGAAGTCATGCTATTTATAGGTCTTCTTTTTGATTATTTAAACAACTCTTGAGTTTCTGGAACCTTACACTTGTTTTTGGATAGCTTAAACTTGTTCTCAAGGACACAGAATCACACAAAAAGCACTAAATGAGAGAAAAGTGACATTTCCTGCACAGAGGACAATTATGGAACGCTTTTTATAAAGTGAAGTTATATGAAGTACCAGGTTATCAAATTCTGGATAAAAATCGAGTATATAGAAAAATAGTTTACTGTGGTCAGCTGTTGGAGCCTTTGAGAATCATTGCTCTGTCAGGGATGAATTTCTGCCTGTTTAAATACATGGATTAATCAATATTTCCTAAGTATGAAGCATATGTTTTAAAAATCATTGTAATAGATTTACTGAATATAAAAACTTAAATGTTATCTTGTAAGTGTGAAATGTTCATGACTACTTTTATAATAAAAATTAGAAGAATTAAATATTAATATTACAGTTTATACCAAGTCCTTTATCTTTTAAAATTAATAATAATTAGTTGTGTAAGTCAGTTGAGTTCCGTTGAAAATGAAGGTTCATTCAAGCTGTACTAGAGTTAGATTTTCAAAGCAAATGTAAGGGAAAATGAATAACCTTACTGATTGTAAGTGTTGTTTAAATCTCAAGTCAAAAAGTTCATATAATTATTATGTCCTGTATTCTGTCATAAAAATCTAAAATAAATTTAAGATTATTCTCCCATATAATTTTAATCTATCAGTTTATATTCTTAAAACACATGTGCAGCCATTTCACTATAATAATTAAGCTACAGAAGGTAAAGAGCTTGGTTTTTCTTTCAGGACAGTGAAATAGCATAAAAGGTAAATGGAAACACCTTCTAGAGAAACCCATTGTGACACAGGGCTTGACTCCTCGGTCGCATAAAGTATCTCTTATTTAGCTGGAAGGAATGATGTTGGTCACAATGCTGGTTATTTAAGGATAAGGTAATCACCAGCTTTCCCGGTTCTCAACAATTCAGACTTAGTTTTTCCTCTATCTTTTGAATGACTCTTCTCTGTTTTTTGTAATATCTCATTAACAACGGTTGTAACAATACCTTCTAAGAACATTTTACCAAACAGAAAAAAAATCTGAAGACTTACAGGATCAGTCTTGAGCTACAGTAATTTGCAATCAACTTCACTGAACCCAATGAATCTGCAGTGCCCATACTTCCTGAGGATGTATCCAATACTAATGGTTGTTCTGAATTCAGGAGTTGATCTTGTTTCCATGGTTTTCAACATGCTAAAATGAAATGAATCATAGACCATATTCCTTATGTTGCCTTTAATATTCACATATGGATTAAAAAAAAATCCCAAGCAATTTTTTTAAACTGTTTTGTTTTTCTTGATTTGCTTTGATGTACACTATGTATGACAAGTTCAATGGTTTTTTAATTTTAGAATTAATTACACGCAGATGTAATTATATTGTGAATTACAATTGAAAAATGAACTTCCAGTCAGAAAAAAATGAAGACATTTTTAAAGTTCTTACAACGTGATATGAAAGGTGAATGTTTAGAGCAATAAAACCAGGAAGTTGGCATCCAACAGAAACTTATTTTCTGTGCATGTCTTCCTATAACTCAAATTCACTCACTAGTATGAGTATCCCAGATAAACTAAACAGTTTTGACACCTTATGTTGCTTACTATAAATTAACACTAGTGGCCTATTGGCTTATAAATTTTAGAAGAAAATCCACAATAACAGCAAATGAAACAAAAAGTCACCTAACTTAATCATAGGTAAGGAAGAAAAAAAAAACCTATTAGTTCTCTCTACCATCTTCTCCCAAGAAGAACCGAGGTTGCATTCACCTCCATTTTTCCATGAACTGCAACACACATAAGGAAAGGTGAACATGTTAATCCAAGCATCCATTTTATAAAATGTAGCGGGTTTTGGGATGTCTTAAATTCCTTTTTAACCTTTGAAGAAAGTCTGTTTATACTGTTGTTTTCCTAGCAAGCTGTCTCCTGTGAAACTTTCCCCATTTTTATGGTCTTCTACAAGCTCTGTGTTTGTTCCTTGTTGTATTCCTTAATTTTTGTATATACTGCAGTTTTGGAAGTCTGTCTTTTCCAATCAAGCATGTTCCCTTTCCTTCTCTTTTCAGAGAACATGCTTTTGCTTGGTTTTATCTAATTGTCTTGACAATAAGGATATGCCTTTTACTTATTTATTATCATCTATTTGTATTTTTCACGGTCTTGAGCCAACCCCAACAAAGGCAATCTTCATATTGTTATCATTGGTTATTTTTATTTATTATTGATTACACCTTAAATTGGAATATTAGCTGCTGGATGTCAATATATTTGATAGTAATTTTTTGTCTCTAGATAAATTAAGGAAGATAATACTTCTTGCATCAAAAATTCCTTTCTGTCAAGGCCTAGAGTGGGAAGCTTTCTTTGTTGCAATAATGTGTGTAATGAAAGAGAATTGTTATAGAATGTGCCCCTTATCTAGCACCTCTATCTTTTATGTTGAAGAAAAAAAATGTATCAATGTAATGAACCAAACTTTTTAATAGCAAAAAATTACTATAGCATAAAAGTGCCGAGAATAGGATAAAAATTATTAGAAAAATAGAGAGTCATGGTTGTTAACCAGAACTTATTAGGGACTTAATTATCAGGAAATTACAGTCAGAGGTCCCTAATGAAGTTAAGGTGCTAAGAAGTACTTGAAAAAGGTTGCATTTTCACCAAGTTGTATTTACTCAGAAAACCTAAAAGAACATGCATGCAACCAATATTCACTATGCTGGCTCCAGAAGTTTCAATAAGTATCATTTGTATGCGATGTAGTTACTATGTAGTCTGTTAGGTTTGCTAGCTTTTTCTTGCAGATTTTTTTTTTTTTTTTTTTTTTTGTAAAACGTAGGCTAGAACAGGTGGCTTTTTCAGACATCTTTCATTACAAAGACAAAGGTTCTTGTACCTGAAATCTTGAATCTCAATGTCCTGAACTTCAGGGTTAGGCTCCTTTCCATTTCAAACAAAATCTAGGTAAAGATACAGTACTTGTGCAGAATCTTTTTACTAAGAAATCTTTTTTACTATCAAACTGAACATTTGGGGGTTTGAAGCAAGTAAGGTCAAAAGGTGAGGACATCTAAAGCTCATTTATACATTACTGAAAAGTCACTAGGGAGTATCCTTCTGCCCTGTCCCTTTTAAAGAAGAAGCCATTACACCAAAGCATGAGGTTGAGAGAGTAAAAGTAAGTGGCAGAGCTGTTGCACTATACATTTTTAGCAGCATGAGTTAGGATGGTCCCTTCAATCTTGGGTGGCAATGTCATGAGTGAATATTGCAATGAAAGACAAATAGAGCTAGTCATATCTTGTCTCCTAAGGAATTGAATATGTGTCAGATAACATTTTCTTAAACCTCTGTGTTATGAAAATTATAATTCACTCAAAAGCACCTAAATGCCAAGTGTTAAGATGCAGCATTTATTTGTTCCTCTGTACACGTACGTATGTTTGTGTATCTATATGTGGTTTTATCTAGATATAGATTTAAAGTGATACCTGCCTTAATTACAAGACAGGTGTTCTGCAGACTTTTGGATGATTAAGTCAGGTTATTTTAGCTATCCTGGATCTTTTAAATAAAGACTACAGACTTTTGAATAAGGAAAAAGTAGTTTAGTTAATTTTAGAAATCTTTGGGTTTTGCTTAAAGTAAATGTTCTGTTCATAATACAGGTTTTGAAACTTCTCTGTGTCAGTGTTTCCAGCCTTTTTGTAACCCAGCTTCACACTTGAGAAAATTGTCAGTGATTCATTTTTCTCTTGGAAACTGGTAATTCCTTCCTTCCAAATCGGAAGCCTTGAAGGAGTATTTTTAAACTGGTTTGAGAAATTAACTGTGTAACGCAATGCATTGCAGAAAAGAGAGTCAGCAGTTCCTGCAGGCAGAAAGAAGATAAAGTGACTTAGATGATGCTTGGGGAATGGTCTTTAGAATGTGAGATGGTTTGACAGTGAAGGAGCTGTGAGAGCTTTTGGTTGTCTGGTTGCCTTTTGAAAAGAGCTGTCTATCCTGAGGTATTTTAGAATACACTGGGAGTTAAGAATAAATGTGTTCAGATGCTCAAGGGACTGCAGGCTGACTGGATGTTTTGAAGATGGGTAGAGTAGACAGTGTTGAATTTGAGTGGTGTGATTGTCAGCAGAGCTGTGCACAACTGAAGTTATGTTCAGATTAGGGAATTAGTTGTGGAAAAGCATGTACAGGGAATGACCACAGTCACTAGGGTTTATGTGTCTTGAGTGATGCTGGTGTCTCTAAGGGACAGGGTCCTGGGGTGATACTGTAATACAACACTGAATTGAAAGGTTCTGTGATGAGGACAGAGACGGAAAAAGATTGAATTGCTGGCAAAGCTTGCATAAGCAGTGGTAATAGAATATAAAACTTCTAGTCCTGATCAGATGTATCATCACCCCTTACACCTTTGGTATAAGATTAAAAATTGAACCACATAAACATATCAGAACATCTCTTATATGTAAAGAGAGGGAAATTGGTATTGAAGAATACTGGTAGTTATTAATCTTTTAATTTACTTAGGGAATGTACATGGAAACTGTTCAGAAATTTAGCACTGTCTAGGTAAGCCCCAGTAAAAATTGGGTAGGAGGTGGGGTGCTGGCAGAGCTGTCAACATGTATGCTAATGTCTCTTATCAGCTGGTACTGTGACGTAGCATATGCTTAGGGTCAGGGCTGCTGTGACATGAATGTATTACACATTATAGCAGATACCTATATGCAGTGTGAAGAGACCAGAATTTATGTGGAAAGTGTAGCTTCTTGTTTAGGCTACAAAATAAAAACAAATAGTAAATTTATAGACAAATAAAGGGAATAATGGAAGTAAGGAAGGACATAAGTGCAACTACGTAAATCTTGCTCTGCCTTTTTAAGAATGTTGCTGTTTTCATTTCTGGATCAATCTTCAGGCGCTCTCCTAGGTTAATGATCCAGTAAGTGAGTTAGTTCATTTTTGATGTTGATTATGGTGTAACATTATCTAAAAACCATTAACAAATATGATAATGGATCAGTAATTTTTTTGTTGCACATCTTGTTCAAGTTGCTTAGCTGTTGTGGGAAAAACTAAAGACTCAACTAAAAACTAAATAAGGAGAATTTCAGCAATTATGACCCTATTTTCAATAAATGTTAAAGCTCACACTGCTTTTGAGGGTTCAGACTGTAGCAGAAATCCTGTATACCCTCTACTGCATGGCAGAGATGAGATTCAAGATATACTTTTTAAAAATTTTTTATTTTAGATATGACAGTGACGGTTGGTGTCCACCTTTGCCGGTTCAGACCTACCTACATCAGGGCATGGAGGATGAGCTTGAAGAAGACGATGATCGTGTTCCCACACCTCCTGTCCGAGGAGTAGCTTCATCACCTGCGATCTCCTTTGGACAACAGTCAACTGCAACCCTCACGCCTTCTCCACGAGAGGAGATGCAGCCAATGCTTCAAGCCCACCTTGATGAATTAACAAGGGCTTACCAGTTTGATATAGCAAAGCAGACATGGTAATGTTTGAAGGGGACACCTGTGGTCTAGGAAATGAAAGCATGATAATAATTTATTCCTTGATGACATAAATATCAACTCTGTTCAACAACATTTCAGTAATGTTTCCAAAGCAGTAAAATAGAAGAAGAAATAGCAAAACTGTATCTACAGTGTGAAAGTCTTAAACATTAGTAGCTGCTTTTTAAACCATAATGCTTGGTACTATGTGAAATCTTGGCTAAAGATATGTAAAAATATTCTTCTGGAGTTTTACATATATTCAACTAAATTGTTAACACCCACCTACTGACAGCTTTTATGCAGCTCAGAGTACTCTGTGTTCAGGCTAGCAAAAGATTTTTTAGGATTTTTAAAAATATTGAGGTTCTAAATTACTGATTAAAAATAATGCTAGTCACTTGAAATAGAATATAGCAGCTTTTACCTTATGTCACATGAGAATGAAGCATTTGCATCTCTGACCATAGTTTGAAATACCATGAAGATTTCTGATTCATAGGGAAAAACACAGAAATGGCAGGAAGGAAGTTGTTAGTATTTACAAAATGGATCTAGCGTTTTAGAGAGCTTTATGCCTATTTAAAGGGAGAGCAAGCAAATACCACAGTAACATTTCCCCTGCAAAACAAACAGAAGCAATCTCTTCAGAGACTGAAAAAGAACTTGTCAACTGCACCAGGTTGGGGAAGCAGTGAAGGTCAGTTGCTTTCTGGATGGTCCCTAAGTGGCAGTTGTCCTTTTACAACTTCTCTATCCAGACAAAGCCTGCAAATCTCGGAGGAGAGGAGCAGAGCTAGTTACTGAATGGCGTGCTGCCAGCGGAGGAGCAGCCTTTCTTCCCTGGTAAATAAAGCCACAAAGTTATTCAGCTCGAGCTACCATAAATAGATCAGGCAGGTAGGCAGGCGGTGCCAAATCAAAGCCAGCTGTTTTCCCCAGACACTGTCAAAGCCTCGAGGCTTGTCTGCAATCTGCACGCAATCAACAGGGTACTTTGGTCCTGTTGCAGTGCCATGCTGCCAAGCACCGACCTCGGCCTGCCCGTGGGACAGACCCAAATCCCAGGCAGCAGCTAGACCTGGCCTGTTTAAGGTAGCTGATTTGTGAGCCAGCACACAGATGCATACCCTGTCTGCACAATCAGTTGCTGCTGCATTTTGCAGCTGTTACCCTTTCTATGCCTACAAACCATGGGTGCCAGTCTGGGAGCAGGTATCATAGTAGGAGTCTGTAGCAAAGCTTCACACAGCTGACAGGAAAGGTCTTGCTCCCTTTTGGAAAAATTAAAGTTGATTGGGAACTTTCATAATGTGTTTAGGAATACGCAGATTTTCACGTCACTGTTGTGTTAGGTCACAGTAATTGATCATGAAACTCTGGAAAAAAATATAGAGGAGATAATCTATTTTCATACTAGGACTTAAGAGGTATTGAGGGTTGCAAGTACAAATTATTTTTGCAGTAGTTGTGACATGGAATTGTTTAATGCTTTGATAATGCTTGCCTAGATACATGTCATGCTGTTCAGCGAATGCTGGTCAAAGTCACTGGAAAGTCCTTCATTGTTTTAAGTGGGAAGGAAGAGTTCTTAGTTTTCTTTTCACAAAGTTAACCTGTCCAGTGTAGGGGCAAGGGCAAACAAAACAAGGTGAGACCTGTCATGTAGGTTACTGTAGGAGTAATAGAAGAGAAATATAGAGACCAGACAACTGGAAATTTAAGAAAGAGCACATTAGAGATTACTGGAAAAGTACATAAGCATTATGGCCTAGATCCAGCAAATCACTTAAGTATATGCTTAACTAACTACAAGTACACGAAAAATTGACTTCAATTGTTCTATGACATGCCTAACATTAAGCATATACTTAAGTATTTTGCTTGATTGGGAGCTAATCACACTGTTTATTGAGGGTTAGTTAGATGGTAGTGCCCTTTAGCACAGTGTTTTGAACACTGCATAGCTAAGAACCTGATGTCCAGACAGGAAAGTACTCAGGAACTACTAATCAGAAGGAAGTTGTATATCAGAAGGGAAGCATTTGCTCTGCAAATAATCTTCAGAATAAGCAATAATTTAAAACCTACACCAAGGTGGAGAGAGATTCCACTGGTACATAACATTTACTGTGACATTCTCAGATCCAATAGAATTACGTTATGAAAAAGAAAAAGCTGTTTGAATAAAGAGAATTACTGCACTTATCAAGTGTAGGCAATAATACAGCACAAAGTTTTCATCAAAAATATATTAGAGCTAGGAAACCACAGGTGACAGTTGTAATTTTTTCTGTTATGCTGTCCAAGCAAGAGACCAGCAGAATCCTGGATCCCGTCCAGAGCGCTGCCAGCTTGAATCAGGTCACAGCACCTCATGTACAGCCACCCAAGGATTCCCACATGCCTAAGTCAGCAGTTTCATGCATGGTACATGCTCTTATGCTGAAGCCAGTCATGCCTGCATCCCCTGGCACAGCTTGCTGTGTACCTGTAGTGCTGTGGAGAGCATTGCATTGAAACCTGATGGTTGTTCTTTTCCTCTCTAGCCTCTAAGAGGCCACACAAATTAAATTCTGAGTCCTGTGCTTGCCTTTGGCCCTTTAACTATCCTGGCAGTGTTTTTATCTTTGTTTTGTTTTTTTTTTTTTTAATTCTGATTGCTGCATGCAGTAATTTCACACATGCATGCCCTAATACTGCTGCAATTAACTCAACTAACTACTGGGAATAAAGCAAACTAAAAAGGTCTCGCTAATAATGGATTCATTGAACTCTAAAATTTCTCTGTCCTACTGGTCATTTCCTTCTCTTTGGGTGAATTCTCCTTGAGGATACTGAGTCTGTTTAAGCAGGAGTGAAATTTAACTTTGGCTCAACATGTGATTTGCAAAGTGAAATATTGGATGAGACATATATGTTAGGTTGGGATTCAGAATTGTGCTTTTCCATGGGCTTCCTACTTGATATATATAGCCTCTGGGTGCATTGTTCCTCATCTGTAAAAGGACAATCTTGACCTTCCCCATCTTACAGTAGGAGAAGTGTATTTAAGACTGGAAAGTGTGTGGGTACTCTGGTACTAGAAGCTATGGTGAATAACTGAACTGACTTTTCTTGAATTTGACCTAACAAGAAGATTTTGTAAATCTACTTCAGGACTTATTGAAAGAATTATCTTCTATTGACCATGGGGTACAAAGCCGCAACCATTCTGATGACGTTTTCCTCTTTGTTCCTGTAGGCACATCCAAAGCAATACACAACCTCCTCAGGCTCCAGTTCCGCCCCTAGGATATGTATCTGGAAACCTTATTTCAGATTTGGAAACAGATGTTCCAGATGATGAGGATGATGAGGATGATATTGAAGAAGAAACTGTAGAAATCAGTAGGCCGCTAAGAGGTCTAGAGCATACTCCAGGCTCCAGTATGGACAATCTGGACAGCTCTGTGACAGGTAACCAAACACAGTTAACAGAGACACCAACTTGTTCCTAACAGTAAAATACATCATCAGTCAAACACTTTCTAAGTGAAAATTTATTCCACTCTATTTCTGTAACATTTAAAATGTGTTAATATTGAACACTAAAGTTAAAGAAGGATTTGAAAATACTTTGCTTTGCTGCAAAATGATAAGAAATTTCATGAATTTTAAAAAGCTTTAAAGACTTGAAAGAAAACTCAATTATATCCTAGCTTTCATGAAAAGTTCACTCTACTGAAGAAGCAAGCCAGTTACATAAAAAGGAGGGGGAAGACCTAGGCTTAGGAATATATATTTCATAAATCAGGAGCAGCATAAAAATGTTATCTTAAAGCACTTTTAGATATTTTGCTGGGTAAATGCTTTCACAGATGAACACAGGGAAGTTAAAAGACTTCAGAATAAGTGTAGTTAGATCAGCACAACATTTATTTGTAGAATAAATACATCATTTATGTAGGAAAATGTATATTTTGAACCTACTTTGTATTGCCGAATTTAGTAATTGTTCCCTTTCAGTGAAGATATTTAATTATTCTGACACTCCTTCCCTCACTGCTTCTTGCCCTTTGCATTGCCTTAGAAAGGTACAACAGGAATCATCAAAAGGGACCTAGAAAGGCATGCTAGACTAATGCACAGAGTCTGAAGGAATAAAATTGCTTTTGATGAAAAGTAGGCAACAAAAGACACTTTTTGAAAAGTACAGATTTTATATGGACATAATCTACTTTTTGTAAACATCAATATCTTTCCCGTTAGGTTGAACTTGGACCTCTATATGATGTACTGTATCCATAATGTACAGCTGTACTGGAGACCCAAATGTACATGGTTCCCAGAGCTCATAAAAGCTAGTGGGTGCTTCTTCAGTCTTTGGTCTCAGCGGAAAAACAGTGATTGTTAGTTGTAACTTAAGGGACACTTTGGAGACTTGCTCAGTACAATTTACTACCATAGTGCCACTGAATTTCATCTCATTGTTCTGGACCTACCTTTGAAATTCCAAGGATTTTGCACCCTTACTTAAACATTACTGTTCTGAAAACACTGCAGGAACAGTGATGGAGCATCAATACCTATAATTTTCTTCCTTTTCCCTTGTTGAATTAAATAGTTTGTAGCTTAATCCTACTTCCCAGGTTTTCCTTCACCCTAGGGCCAGACTGCTTGCCAATCTAATTAAGATTTAAGAATTGTATCTCAGCTGCTGTGATTTTTAAATCCAGATCCAACTGAAGGCTATAGAGTTAAAGTTTAAATCCTTGAATTGAGAAGGTTAACTTATTAGTGCATGAGTATGTTAAGTCACTTCGGTTGAATTTCTAGTGTAATCTCCTTCAGGCTATAATTCTGCATATTTCTGCATATCTCACTAATGGCTCAGAAGCCTTTCCATTAGGAAAGCAGTAAGGGTTTTGCACTGGTAATACGGAAATAAATAAAAAAAATCAGGTGGCTATATATTTTCCATTTGATGTGTATTAATATGTCAATGTTGATATATCTGTAAATCAGAAAATTAATGTTTTCCCCGTTTGCATTTTCACCTAATATTTTGGGCTACCCTGCCTAGTGCAAAGTAAGGAATAGCTGCATTTCTGTTCCAATTCATAGACTTCTGTGCTTATTACAATTTATCCTTTTATGAATAACATTCAAGCTTGTTCTAATTATTGGAGTGTTAAATATTTAATTATTGGAGTGTTAAAAAAATCCTGGTGTATTTTTCTGGAAGACATTGGTCAGATCTTGGTAATGTAGACTGGGAGTGCACTTAAGGTGATCCAAATGCACTCCTACTCGTTTTCACTACTATCTTGATGTGGCCTCATCCAGCTGAAAATTAAGGTTTTTCTCTTGTTTTTTCTTGTTTAATTACTATCTGGATCTGTTCCTTCATCTGATTCGCTGCATGGCAAGGTGTTTGCCAGTGCTACAGGAAGGGAATGTGCAGCTGGAAGGGAAGCAAACTGCCCCTATAGTGTATAGCCAACACTTAGATTGACTTAGGACAACTATGCAACTATAGCCTTACAAAAATACAGTCAACAGTGGTAGTCTAAATGATCTGTAAAATGGCAAACTCTCTGAATAAAAAAAAAAGCTACTTTTGTTTTTGTCAGTTACTGGGTAAAACCTTGATTTTCTGTGGGCTTTTTGGGGGGCTTTTTTCTAGGGGTGGAAGGAAATTGCTTATTATGCTTGGGCAAATTGTTTCAAAAGACAACTAATTTTTATGTATCTTTCTGTTAACTCTTCCAGACTGCATTTGCTGGTGTTTAAAAGGGTATATAAGAAATTTCATTCATTGTTTTAAGATGTTTCTCGTTCTTGAATTGAATTGCTTTTAGAATATTGTAGAACAAGTAATTGTTCATTCTTACTCTGAGGATACATAAGCTACTTCTTTCACAGGGCTTTTGGTGACTTAAACCAGCATTTTCCTAGGAATTTATATACCACATTTCCACTTCTTTAAACATCATATTAAAAACTGGAGGCACAAGAGTACAGATCATTCAGATCAAGCAATATCTCTGTTAATTTTGAACCATGCCCTATGAGTTCAGTGTATGTGAGAAATCTAAATTGATATCCCTTGGTCCAGATTTCGTCCGAACAGAATTGCTGTACAGTGAGCAGGGTGAGTTTCCTCACCCTGTACTACTTGCATGCCTCAGCAATGACTTGAAAATACCCACTCTCAGAGTGAAATGGTACTTTGTTCTTTATGGCTGAGTTGAGGCCGAGGTTTTCATGCAATGCCAAATGTGGAATTCTCTGAGGGGAAACACTGGCACTGTGTGAGCCGAGCTCAAACTGCTAAATTCTTCTGAAACCACAGTGTTGCTCCTTTAAACTGTTTAAAAGTCAGGTTGTCTTCCAGGCCCTTGAGTTTTAGTTACAGCTAACTGAAGATTCAGACAAGGGTTTAATCTGCACTATTAAGCTTTCCTCTTTGCAGGTGGCAGAGACATAATGTTGACATGTATAATAAAGTGAAAGAAAGGAGGCATGTACAGTAACTATATCTTAACATTTTCCAGATATTGCAAAGAAAACTCAGTGAGGGAGGTTTGTATTTGAATGTTTGTGAGATGAAATATGAAATTAAAGTCAAAGTTTTGCTTCATTCACAGCATGGTTTGTTAGGATACTGAGTTACTGATTCTGATTTAGGGGAAAAAAAAAAAAAAAGAACTGAAAAGCAGATGTAAAATTTCTGCTCACTTGACTTTCAATTCACAATTATTTAGGGTTATTTTTACTTTCAGAGGCACAATGAAATATGTTTTTTGTTCTGCTTATGTTTGCCTTTATTTTGAATTGCCATGCAGAGCTATGGCAAGAATGGTCAGGAAGAATCTTATATTATTCTACTTTAATAGACTTAATTAATTGCATATGATTACTGTATACAAAATTAATTTGCTTCTCACTGAAATCACTGAGAAAAACGCTAGGTTTTGTCAGATCAAAGTATTATGGTTTGGCAGTTTTCTTTGCCCTCTCCTTATCTTCTCTTCCCTCAGCACCACCAGTGAAGCTGGTACTGAGAGCTGTTACATCTTCAGTCCTGGTGCATTTTGACTGAGGGGAGAGATAAGAGATACACCCTTAACTAGCATGGAAAGTAGAATAAGCCCTTTTCTACCTAACTGATATGAACTGGTGTAAGTGGAGAGATACTCTTGTAAACAGAACCAGTGCAAATGGATAACATTTTTTTTTACTCAATAGTATTATACAGATCTGAAATTATAACCATCTCCTTACGTGGTATAGCTTGGCAAGAAAGAAAATCTCTTATTTGGCATGTTTTGGGCTTGATTAAAAGAATCACTGATCACTGTCTGTATGGTAAAAGTTGCTCATTCATTGTATCCGAGCACAAATGGAATAATTCCTGAAAATTACACAAAATCATTTTCATAAGCCATATTTTACCATGGCAGAGTTCAATGTTTATATTGATTTGCTTAGGGATACCTATAGCAAAAGATTCCATTTTATAAGCAGTTAGACAGATTGAATTTAATAGGAAGAATGTTTTTCATGGATTAAATACGTGTTCAGAAAATAGGAAACTGCTACTTTTTGTATCTCATAAAAATGGTAATGCAACAATTAGCAGGGTCATATTATAAAGCACAGACTTTACTCTAGCTTAATGGATCTAGGGATATGCATTCATCAGCACCGATGGATTTAGCATAAAACGACATGTAAATGAATTGATGACTGATCATAAATTAATTTTAGTGCTGAAGAAGTAATAGAGACACAGCAAGATGCCACTTTATCATAGTATTTTACTGCTCAGCAACATTTGAGCAACTACTTAATGTTCTGTGTGCATTTCTTTTCTAGCAGCTTGAATAAATTTGAGAAATTTTTATGCCTTTCAGCAATATGGAAACCAAAAAATCTAGAAAGATTGAAAATGCAAACACAAATAAATTTTGCTAAGTGACATAAATTCATTTTTCATTAAACGTTTATGAAGGGCATTAATTATGGTTGAACCCATAACGTGCTAAATATGTATGTATGATTTTTACCTCTATTGTTTAGGGTTTCCCACCCCAAAATAAAAATATTAAAACTTAAGAGTTTATACATTTAAAGATTTGGGCATTTATGGCCAAGTATAATGTAAAGTATAAGACCAGGTCTAGTTTTTGAAGTGTGATCATGTTTGTATTCTGCATTCAGCCCCTTCAAACCTGGTCATGGGTGGTGTCCCCCAGGGCTGGGTTTTTGGGCCACTCCTGTTTAACATCTCTATTGATGATCTGGACAAGGGGATCGAGTGCCCCCTCAGTCAGTTTGCAGATGACACCCAGTTGGGTGGGAGTGTTGATCTGCTTGAGGGTAGGGAGGCTCTGCAGAGAGACCTGGACAGGCTGGAGCCATGGGCTGAGCCCAACTGGAGGAGTTTCCATAAGGCCAAATGCCGGGGGCTG